TCACCGGGCAGATGATTCCAGCTGCTTGCACTGAGATCGCTAAATCGGGTCCTTGAATTATATAGTCGCTTGTCCACCATGCATCCATCCAATCTGGTTAATTAAGTCGCTTTGATTAATTAATTAGACGGTGATGTAAAAGTTTTGAAAACTATGTCTCTTATTAATTGTATTTTTTGACCTACAAATGATGTGGATAACTCTAGAGAGTGTGACACATGATTGGTAGTCAATTTTGTATGATTCTCAATATGTGAGAGTGCTTTAATATCTAATAATATTATTGAAAATTCTAAGTTTTTTTTTTTTAAATTGCCTTTTCTATAAATTTCATTTACATATTTCCCAAATATACTCAATTTTACTTATGCAATATATTATGGTTAAAAATAACAAATATATCTTTTATGATCTCAGTTTTGTTGAAAGCCAAGGTGACACTATTTCTACGATTATGATAATGCCATATGTATGTCTTCTATATCAGAAACACTAGAGATAATCCAAGAGAAAGTCCTTTCAAGGTTTTAATCCTTATTACGATTACTTAAAGAACATTAGAAGCTAAGCTGCACTGGACATCTCAAAGTTTCAAACAAATATTCAGCAGCCAAAAGAAAAAAAAAAAGTTACAAAAAAAAATATTCGATAATGACAAGTTAGTAAGTTACTCTCGACAATGATACGCAATACATAGACAGGTAAGATTGTAGTCCCATGTATAATGATTTTAAATCAAGCCAAAGTCCTAAACACTAATGATTTTCACATCGGTTCATCCCTGACTAATTCAAGCATTAAACATAGTGATCTATTGCAGTATATGTAGAATTTTTTTTTTGAATTGTATATGTAGAATTTGTTTTGGGCATATTGTATAGCTTGGCTGTTACCTTTGGTTTAGACTCTTAATATGAAGATCACCGTCTCACATAGTACATATCAAAATAAGTATGACGGTAAAGGAGTGTCATATAACTTGAATGTTTTGTCATTCATTAGAATTTTTTTCTCTCTACAAAAATAGCATAAGAGAAGGAAAAAAAGAAGTAAAACATAAAAATAGTTTTCTATAAAATAGAAGTACATGAACAGAAACGAGTTTTGCTTGCGTTCGCATAAGACATACAAACATAAAAAAAAAAGACTTATTCTCCAAAGCCCTACAATGGCTAAATCCTCTTTTTTCCAATATCTCACACTATCAAAAACGACAAAACAAAAGAAACATATAACCTCTAGTACAATCTGCCTCAAAACACCAAACCTTAAAAGACATAACCCCCAAGAAGATGAACCATTACATGACAATAAAAGGAAACTAAGGAAGAAGGATCATCCCCTTTTGTTTTTGTTTTTTGTTTTTTTTTTTGAACTCTTCTTATGTATTACTGCCTCGCCGGAGACTGACACCAGTTTCTACTGTCCCTCATTGAAAGAAAAAAAAAACAAAAATAGGAAAAGAAAAAGAAAGCAGAAAAGAAGCCTAAGAGGACCAATGAATTTAGAAAACCAAACCATGACAGATTTTTCTGGTTAGCTCTAGCTGATGATGATATGATCAAGTTTTTGTTTTTCCTCATGGGCTTTCTTTGTTTGAAGATAATCTAAAAGATTCGCCAAAAGACACAGATTGTTCACCTTGATGGAGCCTCGCCTACAATATCGTGGTAAAAAACAAAAACGAATGTACTAAGTAGCAATTCCTGCAACACCACAAGCCAAAGAAATAGAGGAAACTATAACTACCAACATAACAGTAATAATGCAAACTTGCTACTGACTTTAGCATTATGAATGCAAGTTCAAGACCCTAAACTATGATTCTTTTATTGCAGAAAGAAGACAATCATCAAAATCTAAGCATAGATACTAGAATTTGTATAAGAAAACGGTACATTCTTATTCTACTCCCTCACTAATCAACTAGCTCATGACACCCTTTAAGCAATAGAATCACATGTTAAAGCAAATTACCTCTGTTTGGTTGTCTCTTGTAACTGCCAACATAACCTGGAGATGAACTTCTACCTGAAACATCTGAAGAAGGACCTCCTCCTCCTCCAATCCCATAGCTAAAAGAAGCAGGTCCTTCTGCCTCAGGAGTTGGTGATCTCCATGTGGGATCACTATAGACTGCACCATTCGCATAAAACTCTGAAAGTCCTGCTCCATCGTAACCAGTGTTGTTGGCTGCCGAGGCAGAAGAGAATGAAGAAGACGGTGCTGCCTTGCTAGGCCCTATGCTCCTTGCAGCATATCCACCTGCTCCCAACCCAAAACCAGATTCACCGTTTCCTCCATAACCAAACTTCATATTCTCGTTACCAACAGCATTGTTCCCTCCTCCTCCTCCAGGAGCACCCCAGTTTCCAAATGGGCCGGTAAGAGTGTTGTTACCACTTGTTGATCCACCTCCCATGTATGTATTGGAGTTTGAGTTTGCAGTGTTGTTGTTGTTGTTATAGTTAAGACCACCGTTGTTTCCCCATAGGTTCCGAGTAACCGAACTGAAGAAGGACGAGTTCCCTCCTCCTCCTCCTCCTCCATTGCCTCCTTCATAACCAGCAACAGGACCAAACCGGTTTGTGTTCCCAATGTAGTAAGGACTCATCCCTCGCCCATAATCCACATTTCCATTAAAACTGTTACCTCCACTGAACCCTGTAGGCAACCCCTGATCAAAATTCATATTCATCCCAAAATTTGCAAACCCGCTTCTACCAGCACCAACCGGACTAAACCGACCATCCATCCTAAGTCCATACCCTCCAACTACACCCGGATTAAACCCTTGAGCATATCCATTCAAAAGATTATTAACCCTATTAACTCCATAGCTGTAACCAGCACCAAGAGGACTACGAGCTGGACTTGGAGACATCTCCTTCGGCACAGCCCTCTTAACCTCAACCATTTTACCGTTGAGTTCATGGAACGTCTTGAGAAGTACTTTGTCAACGGCTTCCTCGGAGTCATAAGTTATGAATCCGAAACCTCTAGGCCTTTGTGTGTTGTGGTCGTACATAACAACCACGTCCGTTGTTGTCCCAAACTGCTCAAAATAGGTCTTGAAGTCGCTCTCTGTGACTGAAGAAGGTAACCCTCCAACGAATATCTTCCTCGTGCGAATGCCTGGACCTGGTGATCCTTGAATGCTACTGCTGTTGCTTCTAGTTACCATGTTCTGATCATCTCTAGGAACAGCCTTCTTTGCTTCAACCTACACAAAAAAAAATAATAATAAACTTACATTTTTTTATAACCAGAAGGTTCAAGCTTCAGAAACCACATTCTATAATATTTGTTTAGTCTCAGCAGTCACTTCTTCACCAAAACACAATCAAATAAGAGAGGAAACGTCAATACAAACACAAGATGTGATTACTTTCAAGGCTTCGTTGCATAAAGAAGCTTAGAAAACAAGTTACATTGTACAGAAACAAAGCCTAGAAGAGTGTTAGCATCAGAGAAACATACCAATCTCCCATCGATATGATGCTTCTCGGTTATAACAAACTCAGCAACAGCTGGATCAGCAAAGACAACAAAGCCGAAACCACGTGCACGACCAGTGGTACGATCTTTCAAGATCACAGCTTCGATGACTTCACCAAAGCTGCTGAAATACTCCTTGAGACGTTCCTCATTGGTGTCCCAAGATATCCCTCCGATGAACAGCTTTCCATTGTCGGATTGCATTTTTTTGCTCTGGACACAAAGACATAAAAAAAAATTGTAAGAAAACAGATCAAAACAAAACACATAAAGCTTCAAAGGTTCTGTTTTTTTTTTTTAATTGGTCGTGCGGACAACGAATGAAATCAGATTTGATCGATTCTTACAATCTGATCAAATCAAATTCAGACAAACACATCTGGCAAAAGACCAAAAAAGCAGCAACTCGGATTCAATCTCAACAGATCCGGAACACAACAAATTAAAAAAAAGATCCTGTCGGAAAGTTTCTGATCAACGAAATCAAAATCTCAGATCAAAAGAATCAAACTTTCGAAAACCCACCAATCAGATTAAGAAAACCCAGATGCTGAATCTCGTCGAGGAAAGCGCTAAGATCTGAGAATAGAGGGCATAACTCAAACCTTGCCCCCTTCACAGAAACGAACGATTGAGAGAAGAAGGAGCAAAACAAAATGATTAATGGTTTCTGTTCAATCCGATTCAAACCGATTTAACTCAATTTTTCAATGGCGTCAATCAAAAAACGTACTGAGAACGCTTTCTAGATAGAGAGAGGAGGAGGAGGAGGAAGAAGAGAGATAGGAAAGACAAAGGCTTTTCGGGTGCAAGAAGAAGAAGATATGTCTGTCTCTGTATTTATATATAAAAGGTTAAAGTTTTTTTTTTTTTTACATTACAAAGCTATGTGCGTTTGTAATAAGGAAATTGCGGAGTCTTGTTTTTCCCCTTCCTATTTTATTACACGCAACTTTTTTTACTATTGTTGCCCAAAAAAAAAGAAGAAATATAATTAGTGTGGAAAGATATTTAGTTTGTATCTTAAACCAAAAAGTAGACTTATTAGTTTGTATATTTAGTTGTTCAAAACAAAAACACAAAGTAGACTAATTAGAATATTTCCACTAAGTCTAAACTAACAATATTTGACTATAATTGCAGTTAATGATGTTTATTCACATAACTAATTGTGTAAAAAGGTGTGGTTGCTTTATTTTTAAATTTGTACATTTTATTTGGTTATACGTATATTATCACTATTTATGTTATTGTTGAAAATTACATAGAAATTACTATATTCACAAAAGTTAAAATGTTTAATTTTAATAAATTATATCGGATAATTTACCGGTTACAAAGAAAATTAAAGTAAATAATATAAATTGTGATCCATTGTACATGTTATGGTTAAAATGAAGAATCTATAAATTTTGTGGTTCAAACATAAGCGTTACGGACTATTCTTTCAAACTAAAGAGTATTTTTAATATCTTCGATTTTTAAGAATATAGATTATTAATTTTAAATACCTAATAAAAATGACGGGTTTTCTATATAATATGATATATAGATAATAAGAATGATAAACTTTTCAACAGTAAAGATTGAAAAGCAAAAGATATATTATTAATGGTAGATATAGAAAATAATGGTGGTGTTTTGAAGAGCTCGTAAATTTGTTAACCTAATAATGTAGAGCATAACTGCAAAAATGAAGTTAACCTAATAATGTAGTTTTGCAAAGTAAAACATGATGCACATCCTAGATGGAAAACTTGAATAAGACTGTGAACATGTTTACCTGAAGGCCAACAAAAGCCTATGATACATTGGGCTTAAGCCCATATTTAAATAAAACCGAATACGATAGTTTCAAACGTCTTTTCTTCATTTACATTTTAAAACATTTAAATAAAGTCCATGTCTTTCGGCTTTATGAAAAAAAAAACTCCCTCCAAAAATCATTTCCCTCCAAAAAAAAAAAAAATGTCAGAATATTTCAAAACCCTTACCTTTGACAAATCTTCTCCCACAATCCTCTCCCTTTCTTCAACCTCTACGTCTCTGTTATATATACAATCGTCAAGTAATTCATCATCCCTACCCAAAACCACAAGCAAGTTTAAGCCTTTTCTCCTCCTCACTCACGAATCTTCTCTCAAAAAATCTCTGCCATGGCGACACTCAAAGATGTCATCTCTGACGAGGCACATCTTGGATGCGGTGCGATTCATGTTATCACGGGTCCTATGTTCTCTGGAAAATCCACCTCTCTCCTCCGCAGAATCAAGTCAGAGATCAGCCTCGGAAGGTAAAAAAAATTGTTAAACCGGTCAGACCGAACCGGATCTTGGTTTTACGGTTCAGTGAGTCTCAATTTTTTTTTTTTTTCGATTTGGTTTGTGTAGAAGTGTTGCGATGGTGAAATCGAGTAAGGATACGAGATACGCTAAGGATTCGGTTGTGACGCATGATGGAATTGGATTCCCTTGTTGGGCTCTTCCAGATCTGATGTCGTTTCCTGAGAGATTCGGACAAGATGCTTACGACAAGGTTAGATCTTGTCTTTTTGGGGTAATTTTTGTCTTATTGTGAAGAATATGTATTAAAGTTTGTGTTTTTAAAAAAATGATTGGCAGCTTGATGTGATTGGTATTGATGAGGCTCAGTTCTTTGGAGATCTTTATGAGTTTTGCTGCAAAGTTGCTGATGTTGATGGCAAAATTGTAATTGTTGCAGGCCTTGATGGTGACTATTTAAGGTGTTACTTGACACTTTTACTTCAATTTTTTAAAACAATTTTTTGTTTGACTGAATTTGAATGTGTTCCTTTCTTGGTTAAATGCAGAAGGAGTTTTGGTGCAGTACTTGATATTATACCAATAGCTGATTCTGTGACAAAGTTAACTGCTAGGTGTGAGGCTTGTGGACAGAAAGCTTTCTTCACTCTGAGAAAGACTTGTGACACCAGAACCGAGCTGATTGGTGGGGCTGATGTCTATATGCCTGTTTGTCGTAAGCATTATGTCAATAATCAAATTGTCATCAAAGCTTCAGAGCAAGTGTTGGATTCTGACAAGACAAGAGCTGAATCCTGTGTGGAGACAGATGCTGTTATGGTCTAACTATGAATTGCTATGGAATCAGTAACACATTATAATGAGTTTCGTTTTTTCTTGTATACGCTATCGTTTTACTTGTCTGTGTTTACTATCCCTTACTGTTGTCTTTGAAAAACACTTGTGATGTTTCTTGTATATAATATATCTGATGCTCTCTCTATGGCTAGATTCTGATCCATGTTTGATTCAAGCATGCTTTTCTCGTCAATTTTCATACTTTCATAAACTTCTAACCAAAGCAACCTATCAGCATAGCTCTTTCACATCAGAAGCTATTACACAAATGGTACTTATATTATTAGTAATCTCAATATTCACATGTGGAAATCAAATTACAAATGCAAACGTAGATAGTATTCCATTTGAAAAGAGTAGACAGCACTTAGCCCAAGCTTAATCCAGTACAAGAAGAAGCATCTTTGTTGCCTCTATGAGCACCAAAGTGTTAAAAACATCATATAAGCTTACAACATTAGCACAATCAAGGCGACCTTGAACCAGGGGTAATCCTATCTTTACCAAATCTAGACACACTCCTAGGAGTCACACCACCAGGACTCGCTCCACGATAACTTGCACGCAAACTCTCATCAACAGTAGAAGAAGATTTCCTTATCGCCCGCCTAAAAAACTTCTGAGCAGCAGGTGAAAGCATCCTAACATTCGGACTTGCACTTCCACAACGATGAGGAGACGGCAACGGAGGCTTCTTAAACATACTGTTCGCCCTCTCTCTCACCTTCCTCGACGCGTCTCTCGATAAAAAATGCGCCCTCACATCCCTCGCAGGCGCAGATGGAATATTGTAGTGAGGTCCATCAGCACTACCACCAATATCAATAGGTGTATCCTCAAGATCTAACCGCATCGGTGTCCCTTCAATCTCACCCCATGTAATAAACGGTGATTCATCAACACCAGGTGCAGGAGACGGCGTTTTAACAAAACTATAACCATTATTCGCTCTTTTATCTGACTCCACATAAAAAAGATTCGGAGTCTTCCTCAAATCATCCAAATCATACCTCTTAGACTTATCTCTATCCCTCCCTGAGACATGCATCGGCGTTGAACCTGCAATAGGAGTGTATAAAATCTCCAAAGAACCATCTTCCCTCGGCCTAGAATCCATACTCTTCCCATGAAAACGAGTGTTCGCTTTAACAATCTCTTTAGTTAATCCAGCTAACCTCACAGCCCTCTCTTCCTGAGTCAAAGCCACCTCGCCACGATCACCTGGATGATACATGAGGAGATTCTTCGCTGTATATTTCCATCCTACTAAAGTACTCGTTGGCTGATACGATGTTCCGTAACCATCTGTAATCCTATCTCTCTTTACATCCTCAATTAAATTATTATTATTACCATTCTCTTGGAGATAACTATACTTCTCCTTCTTCCTCTTATTAACCCTCTCCAAAATATTACAAAAGCTTTCGTTATCTTCACTCGTATACCTCCTAAAGAACTCATCTAACGACATATTAAAATCTCCATCACCAACTACTTCTTCTACTACTACTTCTCTAGGAGTTGTTGTCTTACCATCAAACTCATCTAAAGGAGTGAAACTTCTCAAGAAAGTAGAACCAGGAGTTTGAGTAGTTTTACCCTCCGTGTTGTCACCACCGTGATGATGATGATGATTAGCTTTCTTCCCACGTCTCTCGATGATTTTTAACTGTGCGTCTCGGATCTGGACCGGGTCACGGGTTTTAACCGCTTGGATCCAATCGAGACGGTCTCTGAGCTTGGATATGTCCGGGAAGTAATCTCGCTCGATGATTTTCTCGATTGCTGCGACGTAGGAGTCTTCGTCGAGGACTCTCATCCGTTTTCTAGGGTTTCGAGGTGTGAGCTTTGACGAGGAGGAGGTGCGGAGATCATTGTCGGAGTGAGAAGACGGTGAGGGGGAAGATAGGTGACGTGGAGAGTGGCCGGGAGATAGAAACATCTTGAATCGGAAACAAGCGTATGCGGAAAAAACTATGATTAGTCGAAAAATTCGAATTCTAGGGTTTGTTTATGGTTTCAGACAGGGAAACACAATGATGGTAAGATGAATGCATTGGTAAGGATTCCTTTATCAATTCGTTTATACGCGTTTAGCTTCTAAATATTACACTTTTGCCCCCAATATTCAGTTTTGTCAACTTTTAGCCCCGTAAGTAAGGAAAATTGTATTTTACAACCACTTGGTTAGAATCTTAATGCAAATAATTATTATAGTTTTTCTGGATGATGATTTGATTTCTTTTTGTTTTTACATGACGCACGGATACTTAATATACCATCAACTGTAGTGCCAAATAGTTTTAATTTCTTGCAATAAAACCTCAAACTTTTAATTTAGTGAATATCGAGCCAGGGAACAAAGTAAACTCAACATCAAGCTCAAATTCTCAATCTGCTCAACATTAGCTTAGAGAATATCTTTGGCTCATTGCACATTATTGATGCTAAAAACTCTGGAGTTCTACTTCTGCTACTAAACTAAGAAGAATATGATGGTCTTAGAAACTGAAAATCGTTCCAGGACAGGTGATATTAGGCATCATCTGTTCATTTCTTCCCATCTACTTCCACTGGTTCAACCACTTCAGCTTCTAAGAGCTCTGCATTGTGAGACTGTGCCATATGCTGCTGTTGCGGCTGAGCCTCAGAGCTTGACCATTTTTGGGAAAGAGCAATACCCATCATCTCATATATCTTCCCACCGAGCTCTGCTGGATTCTCAGGCTGTTTGTATATTAACAAACAACAACCAATGTTTTTTATTAATCTTCTCACACCTCATTACAGAGAAAAAATGTGTTACTGCAAGCAGATGCTTACCGTGAATCCACTAGAAACTAATGCTGCATCATACATGAGATCTATGGCTCTCATCGCATCTTCATCACTTGGGTTACTCCAGTAAGCAGCCTGTGGAATGAAGAAAACAACCAAGTCACTATACAAGCGGTTCACACATCTATTCTGATAGCATAGACCAAGTGATTATTAATGGCGACTTCACATTTATGCTCTTGATAATCGAGTGGTCCGGATTGATCTCAAAGACTCTTCTCCCTTTCATGAACTCGAGGCTTGTAGTGTCACCAGCTGATTGTTGCTTCATTAGCCTATTGAGATAAGAGTATTCTCTGTTAGTTCACCAAGAAAAAAAGGGACAAAACAAGTTCTTACTTAGTAAAAAAGATTATAGATCTTACCTCTCCATATTGGCTGACCAACCAAATTTACCAGATACAAGAACACAAGGAGATGAACTAAGACGGCTCGAAATTTGAACACTGGCAACCTTATCACCCAATCGTTTCTTTATCCAATCACAAGTCTGCCCAAACTCCTTTTTCACAGCTGCCTCTTTCTCCTCATTTTTGTCTCCTGTCAATACAATATCGCAGCAGCCAAAGGTGTTATTATACGATGAAGTGCGATTATATAAATCAAGGGAATTGCATTGAACACTTGCCTAGGTCTAAGTCTTCCTTGCTGATGTCAATAAAGTCCTTATCCTTGTAAGATTTTAAGCTCTGTATGGCAACTTCATCAATGGGTTCTACCAGATAGAGTACCTATAATCACACAAAACAGAAAATATCAATCACCTCGGGATCAACTCAGAATGATAGGAATGTTTGCAAGAAAGTACAAAAGTGTCACCTCAAGTTCCTTCTCCATAAGCTTCTCGAGGAAAGGAGCATTCTTAGCACTTGTAACACTGTCGGAAGCAATGTAGTATATAGCTTTTTGTTCAGCTTTCATATTCTCGACGTATTCATCCAAACTGATCATGTCATTCTCACTCTGGGAGGAAAAAAATCGAAGCAATGGAGCTAAACGCTTGTGGTTCTCGCGGTCCTCGATGCATCCCAGTTTTAGATGTTTGCCGAAGTTATCCCAAAACTTTTCATAGTCCTGTGTAAGTAAACAGGGTAACAATGTCATTCTCATTCGTCAGGAACACCATCACCAGAACAAGCGGTTATTTCTAACGAGACAAATAAAGAGATAAAATGTAAGCAGAAGGGAACAAGAGTTCTGAAGCATACTTCTCTGTTTTCACTCAAGGAAATTCCCAAAATCATATCAAATGCTTTCTTCACCAAACGTTTCTTCATGATCCGCACCTTTGAGATTAAATACAAAAATGTAAGCTTAACATATATCTTAAAGGCTTTGCGTACAAAATATGTATATCAGCACTTACAATGCGACTTTCTTGAAGAATCTCACGGGACACGTTAAGTGGGAGATCGTTTGAGTCCACAACACCCTTGATAAAGCTCAAGTACCGAGGAAACTGTTCACAAAGCAACAAACACCACAAAGACAGATATCAAATTATCAATACAAAATAGAAAGACAGATTCCTTGAAAGACCACATCAACAGAAACTTGTCTCACCAGCTCCCCGTCAAAATCATCTGAAATGAAAACTCGTTTCACATAGAGCCTTATGTTCTTTGTCTTTTGATTAACCACGTCATCCTTCCCCATTGGTGAGACAGGTGGCACGTAAAGGATGGACCTAAACTCGACCTCACCCTACATTAAGAGCAATATCAGTAAGAGGATCTGCTAACAATATATTAGTGGTCATTGTGGTATCACCACTTTTCAACAGACCAAAGCATAATCTGCTTTGGTTTTTAATAAAATATACAACTTGATGTTTTCCTCAAACGTACCTCTGTAGTGAAGTGGGATGATGCCAACGGGTCCAAATACTCGTTGAAAGTTTTTCTGTAAAACTCATTGTACTCCTCTGTCGTCACCTCCTTAGAGTTCCGGAGCTGCAGTAAATAGAAACAAACTCTTGAACTGATTCCATATTTTGTTAATTCTTAGAGCACATAAGCTACATCAAACAGTCCTTACCCAAATTGGCTGCGTCTCATTAGTAAGCTCCCAATCCCAGTATCTTTCAACAACCTTCTTGGTCTTCTTTTTCCTCTGTTTAAGTAAAAAAACAAAAGTCATAAGCTCTAAGCCAGCTATCCTTGCATATCTAGCTATTCTCTGATTCTGATCAAGATGTTTCTCTGATGCTGAACAAAATAATCCTCAGAACAGGGAAAGAGAAGCAAGTATACCTCAGTTTGGTCATCCTGGTCGTCTTTTTTTGACTCAGCTGGTTCATCATCAACCTCAACCTGTATAAGAGAGAACCAAACATACAAAGATGGACAGTAAGTTAAGAATCTTAATTCTCTTCTTCTGAAACGAAACTATATATATCATTTCCCTTGTCGACAGAGCAACCTAGTAATTTATGAGTTCAGATATATGCCATCATACCTCTTTTGTGTATCCTTTCTCCTGCCACGTGTATATAGGGAACGAAACAAATTGCGAATAATTTTTCACGAGCTTCTGAATCCGCTCTGGATCTGCAAATCCTTTGTCATCCCGCTACATTAGGCATCACGAGAAAAAAAGAAGAAGAAAGTTTAGGATGATGATTTTTACATGACAGAACATCTACTTGCATTGAGTTACAAAAGAAATACCAGACCAGTAACGAACCTTAAGATGCAAAGTAATACGTGTTCCTCTAGGAATGACTAACTGAGGATCAGTCTCTTCCCTAATAGTGTAACTACTTGAATCTGCTTCTGATTCCCATACATATTGCTTATCAGACTTTGGGCTCTTCGTTGACACCGTAACCTTCAAAATAGATAGTAACAAATCATTCAGTTGATAAGCATATCAATTGATCAGAAAACACCGAGATCACAGAATAAGAAGTTACCCGTTCTGCAACCAAGAATGCTGAATAGAACCCCACACCGAATTGACCAATTAAATTGTTGTCACCACCTGCATCCTTGTTATCCTGAAATTATTACAACAATGCTTAGTTGTTCTACTGATTCCCTGAGAAAAAAAAACAAAGATTTTCGGAAATAGTAAAATCAGAGAAACCATTAGGACCTTTAAAGCTTTCATGAACTTGGCAGTTCCACTTTGCGCAATAGTCCCAAGGCAGTCAACTAATTCTTGTCGTGTCATACCGATACCTGAATCACTGATGAACAACCACAGATAACAATGTTAAACTCTCTACTCACCATTGCTCAAAACGAGATTCACACTTTCAAAAGCAGAAACCGTTATATGACTTACGTGAGAGTAATTACTCCATTCTCCTTATCTGCATAGATCCGTATGTCAAGATCAGCAGCATCCTTTGAAAGCTCAGGGTTTGTAACGCTCAAATAACGCAGTTTATCCAACGCGTCACTAGCATTGCTGTTGAAAAAAAAACAAATAAACGCAGAATGTTAAAAACGAACAGAAGAACTCAATCACCAAAACAAAAAAGGATAAATCAGGAGAGAAGATACCTGATAAGCTCCCGAAGAAACACCTCCTTGTTGCTGTACAGACTGTTAACAATCAAGTCCATAAGGCGACTAACCTGCCAAACATACACAACACAGAAAATTGATTAGTCAACTAAACCAAAACTAATAAAATTGTCTCAAACAAGAGTAATACACATAACTAATCACTAAAAAAAAAAGGAACATACTTCAGCTTTATATTCAATTTTCTCAACAGGTGGAGGAGCCTGAGACGAAGAGTCTGACGCCGCTGCAGTGGATTCGTACCGGTATCCCGTAACCCAATTGTTCTTCATGTTCAAATGAGCCAAGGACTCATTTTTCTTACATTTCCCATTGGTTAAGGATGAGTACCATCTCGATTCACTGTCACATCTTCTCGAATCCTAAGAAAAGAGTCAGAAACGACATTGTGAGTAATCTAATCATTCATTTTAAATGTTACGGATTGCATCTAAGGTGTTTTGGTAACTATCTAATCATACAAAAGCTAGTTTGGTTATATAAAGTAACGATTTTTAAATCCATCCATAAGAGAGATTAAAAAAAAAAAACAGAGTAATGAGTACCGTGGTAGATGGGGAAGAGCGGGAGATGGAAGGCAAGGCGGAAGTGACGCGGAAGGTTTTGTCGCCGGAGCGTAAGAAGGAAGAGACGGAACGTTTTGAGAGTCTGAGCATATTCGCAGCTTCTAGAAACTCTTAGCAAGTGAAGCGATGTTCTGTTCTGATATGTGTGGTGGTAGCTCTGAGAGAGGTTTTAGTAGGGTTTTTTTAGGGGTGAAAGGCGAAGCTTCTGGATGTGAAAGGGTGGGTGGTTACGGTTTAAGGTTAACTTCGTCACTAACTTAAATTACATTTTTTAAACCAAAATTGACTTGTGAAAACATCGAGTCCGGTCTGACTAACTAGCCCTGCGACTTCGGTTTTCCAAAACCAAATCTTCGTGATACCAAAATTTTTGAAAACTAAATCTAGAAATTAACTTAATTAAATTTCGGTTAGGTTATTTTTGGTTTTCAGTTTTTATTTCGGAAAAATAACTGATTTTTTTGGTTTTTGGTTTAATTTTCTTTTAAAATTGATATTTTTAGTTAAATTCAGTTACTTTTGGTTTTTCGGTTAAATTTGATTCGATATTTTGGATAGTTTCAAAAATAAATAAATTTAAAAGAAAATTGAACCAAACCGATAATTGAATCAATTTTCATAACTCTACCAAATCAAATCGAACTCAAAACTGAAGTGAAAACCAAAAATTTCTGTTCGGTTTGGCTGGTTTGGACAAAATCCGCAGGGCTTGTGTGAATCAAGGCTGAGTTTTTTGACAAGTCCAAAATACTTTGGGCCGGTATAAGAAAATGAACATCAGAAGTACGAAGAAATGACACCAATATCCAACGATACCCCAAAAATTACCATACCACACGATTTTTGGATTAGACCATGAAAGGTTGTGAGTTATAAGATATCCGACCAAAAATTGTGATGTCTAGTTGCGATAACATATACCATCGGTCGGTTAGACCATAATGAACATGACTTCACATCAACACTGAAGTGAATGAGGCCAAGAATGTAAGGTTTAATGGAACTGTCAAATAGTATGTAAAGATATAACGCGGACTCAATGAAGAGATGAGAAGATATTTACTAAAAGTGCTAATCTCCAAACAAGAAACATGTAATGAGCTATATGACAAAGTCTCATCTCAATGACATTTTCTTCAGAACATCTGGACCAAGTGAATAGCAAAGCCACATCTCTCTTCAAGGGTTTTCCACATATGTATAATCAAATTACTATACTATTAGCTGTCACATAATATATTAAACATCTGAGAGCAAACTTTGTATACACCGAAATACAAAAAAAAAAACATAATGTTTTTCCCCCCCACCTTGCAAGATTTCACCAAAGCCAAACAGCATTTTTGGCTTGAGTTTGTTTCTTCCTATTACATGTGATCTCCACAGACAAACCCCAAACCAGAGAAAGAAAAAAAAGACATAGAAGAGAAGAAAGACAAGTACGTACGTACATAAACATCCAAAGTGTAATGTCAAGACTCGAGCTTTAAAGATACAACACGAGACTGTCGGTTGCGCTTAGCCGCCTTAACAAAGACTACTGAGAGACAAGACGGTGCCCACCATGGCCGTCGAACTCTCTGCTCACCTTTCAAGCAAGCCACTGTCAAACAAAACACGTTAAAAGTCAAATTTCTGCAGCAACTTTGGAAGGAGAAAGAGGGAGAGAGAGAGGGGAAACCTTTAATCCTTCTGAGTTCTTTACAGAGAGTGATGAAGTCTCCCCATTTCATGTGATGCCTTCTTATGAAGTGAAGGATCTGTTCGGTTGTGAACACAGACATGCTTTCAAGATACTCTCCGTTGACACCATTTTCTTTGAAAATCAGGCGGTAGCTCCCAAGGTTGATCTCCTCTAGCCAAGATCCAACGTCCTGTAGACAGACAATGAACATCAAGAAACTAAAATACTAAAAATGGCTAATCTGAATGAACTTAAGTGTGACTAATTCTACCTATCAGAAACAACTTAAAACCATCTTTCTAACAGGCATATGTTTGTTTTCAGTTCTCATCAACTAATCTTCATCCAACAAGTGACAAATGCAAACATCATTGAACACACAAGTGATACCCACATCAACAAACTTAGATGAACTAAAGCTACAAGTAAGAAGCTAAACTAAAATGACAAAAGGTAGAGCAAATTTGGAGCTACCAATCAATGGTTACATTATTTAAAGGTTTAACCTTTATTATTCCAAATAACCACAAGAGGCACCAAGAGAGCAAAAAACAAAAGTAGAAGTAAATTGGATCCAAGAATAACCCTTTAGGGTCATACCTGAAGGAGATCATAAGGAGAGTGAAATCTGAATCAACCCAGTAAAGGGCTAATTCAGATTCACACAAAGATGGGATTTTTGAATGATTGGAAAATACCTCAACAGTCCAGATGAAGAAATCAAGAGGCTCAGGAGGGTGATCTCTGCTCATGGTCTCCTCTACACAAAAGTCCCAATACAATTCACCCATACTCATCCTTTTAGTTTTACTCAAAACATCAAATCGAAAACAAAAGGGAAAGAAAGATCTCTACTTTGATTAGAAAGAAAGAGAAAGAGTTGGAATACCTTACCTAGGAGACAGCTGTAAGTAAGATCCGAAATTTAAGCTTCGAATTGAGTGAGTTTCTTGGAGGAAACAAAACTGAGAGATAGAAAGATGGAAACTTTGATTCAAAGAACTTTGCAAGTGCCGAAATGCGTGACCTTTAGGGTTTGTAGAGAGGACAAATGGGTCCATTATGTGAAAAAGTTTACTTCTTTTTTCTCTCTCTCTCTTTTCTCCACGCGCCTCTTCCTCCACTACGCGCCACCGTCTCTCTCCGTACTACGACTTCTATTTTATTTTAGTTAACTGACAAATTTTTTTGTTTATGTGTGATTAGCAACAAATGACAAACGGTAATAATTTTGAACATACATTCACTTAGCGATTATAACATTATTTGAGTATGTTGTTTAGTGCTTAATTCATTTGGTTACACACTTTAAACTAATCTAATATGTCGAAAAATGGAAGATTGTTTTTATTAATTGAGATCACAACAAACCAAAATTCAAATGTCTAATCACATGGATCGGAACATCATAACTAATTGTTCTTTTGTGTGTGTTGTCGATAATTAATTAACTATCTTAAACTAACAAAAAGTCCAGATAGTTGCATAAGGTTATAAAGTGGCAAGGGACACTCTGTGTGTTGCTTGCTTGTTTGCCTCTTAGTGTATAAAAAGGTCCACTCATTTTTCAGAGAATGGAACAAAAAATGAAATAGTAGTATAAAACAAAAGATATCATCTGCTTTTTTATCAACTTGTAGTTACCTTTTTTTCCTTTTTAAGTAGTTTACAAAATCTATTTTCAAATTGGAGAAAAGAGTTGAAATTTTCAAAGTCATTACCAAACCCCAAAGCTGAGATAAACACGTGATCATCACTGGTCACGCACACATAAACACTATTTAATTTGACCTTTGGGCTTAATCATGGACCACAAAACTCTCTTTGCTGACCTCATCTCACTTATCACTCTCTCCTCCCAAAATATATCACAATCCTCTCATGTAACTTGTTATGTTTTTTCCACTTTAAACAAAGAGAAACTCAGTGTTTCACTATAACTGCAAAATAGAGTTAAAACTAGTCTTCACAAGCCTCTGCAGCTGAAATCTTAGAATCAAGATTGTTCATCAGAGTCTCTGACACATGCTTGTGTGTGTTTAGATAGTGTTAAAAGATGCTTCTATATTAATGACATAAAGGGAACGAGAACTTGAATGTTTCTTCATAACACAGTTGGAAAAAAAAAAATCTAACAATAGCATATAGATTATATGTCTATATCAAATACAAGTTGGCATGTTTTTGAACCTCTAAAAGAAAGTGACAAATCTTTTCTCGCCTTCTCAAGTTTCCTTTTCCTGTCGACAAATCGTTGGCCGAAACAAATTTTAGCAGCCTTTAAACATCGAGCATTTCTCAAGATATATTTCACCAGGTCTATCTCTTCTTCTGATCCATACACCACTGTCCACTTGAATGTTTCAAGACTTGCTAATAAACATGTAGGAACACAATCCAGTTGATTCCGCCACGCAATCGGTGGATACACTCTTGAAGAATATGTATGATCCTAAGATTGAAAAGAGACTTCTGTGTTACAAAAAATTATATATAACATTAAAAAGATAAGTCTCTATTGAAGAAATTACTTACGTCGTTCAGACAAACCTCAAGGTCTCGTAACGAGGGAGAATCTTTGAGTAACCGGACAAGTAATTTTGACCAATTTGGACGACATGAACATAGCTTTAGATGCTGAAGCTGGTCAAAGACAATACCCTCTTGATATAAAGCCTGCATGCATGCACACAATAATTAACAAGGCGTCAGCGTCAAGAAAAACCTGGTATTGGTGTTTTAAAAATGAGATTGATAAACATGTTACCTCCTCATCAGCCTTTACTCTAATGCATAATGAAAGCTTCTTGACAGATCTGATAGATCTAACAAACTTGTTAAAATCAGGGTATGTGGAATCAATATCTGCCTCCTCCAACTTAGGCGTATCTTCAAAATAGTATGAGTAACTACTATCTCCACGTGGATATTCTTCCATATAATCCATAATTTTGAAATACTTCAAAGAAGGAGTGTTTATAACAAGCCCTTCAAGATAATATCCTCTAGATATCTTTAGGGTTAGTCTCTGCAGAGACGGGACAATTACACTCAATGTAAATGGACTGTTATTGTCGTTATCATTTCGTTCCACAACTAGATCCTCAAGAACAGGGCAATGAGAAAGAAGTTTGTGAAGAGATTCTGCTTTTGAGAAAATCATATTTCGAAGGGTCAAAAATTTCAGGGAAGGGAGAAAAACCATGCGAGGAACCTTCACGAAAATCTGGCCTTTAAGTTCCAAGATCACCAGCGATTTACAGGTAAATAAATTACTTGGTAGTCCAGCTAATTTATAATCCTTAGATGCAATCGTGAGACTTAACTCATGGACGCATCTAGTCACTGCAAATAAAACCCACTTATCGATATCGTAGATATATTTTGATCCGTATAAGTCTAGGTTGAGACGTAAGGTTTCTATGACTGGAGCTTTATGTATTGGCAGATTAAAATCAATAAAAGACAGTAACTTGAAGCGTTCTTTATTTGAGTATTCTCTATCATCGTACTCAAGTTTAGGCAACCACATCCAAAGAAACTCCCATCGCTTAGATAAAATACTTGTGGTTACAGCAACTTTCGTTGGAAGAAACAATAGTACCTTCAAGAGCAATTCATCAGGTAATTGACTGATCTTGTCGTCCATGTCTTCACAATGTTCTCCAAGGTTCATCGTTCAGAGAATACGAGAGTTATTAGGTTTTGTCTGATGAATAGGCCGCAAGCAAGAGAGAAGACGCAGACTAATATAATAGATAGAGAGGAACGGAAGAAAAATCTTAAAATCGTCTTCACCAGGGCCGGCTGCAAATATATATATATATATTTAGGGTCAGAGAAATATGTTTAGGCCTTCAATTATTATTTTTTTATTACTAGAATTAAGGAAAATTCCCTTAATTCTTTTGAGGGATGAAAATATAAAAGTCTAAATTATTAAATTACTATGGCGACCAAAGGAACGAATGGGAATAACTAGTTCCTTACCATTCCTTACAATTTACACTATTTACAAGGAATATTTGTTACATATGATTCCTTAACATTCCTTAAAATTTAAGGAATAAAAGACTACAATTATTCCTTATCAAATTAGAAGGGGAATAGATTTTCTTTTTATTTTTTTCCTTTTCATTCATTTCTTTCTTATTCCTCATATTATTTTGATGGTTACCAGTTAAACGCTATGTCTTAAGATCTGCATTTAATCATTCAAAATTGTGTTTCTTTATAAAACTAGTTATTTTGCCCGCACATGCCGGCTTAATTATTTTTAAGACAATTTAAAAAATCATCAAAATAAATGATTATTTTCATTCAAAAAATTAGACACGTTTTTACATGATAAAATTATTCATAAATTAAAAAAAAATCTATTTTTCCCTTTAAAACTTTGAAAACAAAATCTAAAATCCATTTCATTTCTTCTCAATTGATAAAAAATATAGAAACTTATCTTTCAATTTGATAAATTGAATCAATAAATATACATTCAAAAATTGATCTTACAGAAAGAATAATATTAGTTTGGATAATAATACAATATATTTGAATTTATTTTGTCAACAACGTATTTTTTTTATTTTTGAATGATCTTTTCTTTTATTATGATTAATTCATGTTTAATGTTATACTATATAAAATATAAAATAAATTTAATTTAACGTGTGAGTTCAGAGGCGAAAAATTACTTCACAAATATATATATCATTATGTTATATTATTATATTCTTTTAATTAGAAAATAATTACGTATTATAAATTTTTCAATTTTCTCTTTTCAATTATGTAAAATTAAAAAGTTTCTTTATGAGTATTTATTTATGTGTTTTCTGTTTTTGATTTTTTATTAAAATATATTTTCCGGATAACAACACAATATATATAGGAATTATCTTTTATTTATTTTTAAATATATATTTAGATTATGGATAATTCTTATCATTATTATTAATTTAAATCATTTATCTAATCAAATAAATATCGATTTCGTTTTTATTTTATGTCTAATTTATATATTTTATTCATTAAGAGTATAAACGATATTAACCACTCTAACTTTTAATGTGAGAATTCACTTCGCAAATAATAGTATAGAATTAGAAATATATTGATAAATAAGTAAAATATCTTCATAAAATTTTGTTAATTTTTCATAAATGTGTATCCATGACAATGTGTGTTGCTTGCTTGCCTCTCAGTGTATAAAAACTAAAAAGGTACCACTCTTTTTTCACAGAATGGAACAAAGAAATGAAATCTATATATATAAAGAAATGTTCACTCCCTCTTGGGAGTGCCACGTCACTAATTGCTTTTCTCTCGGCGTGACACGTGTACAAACTGTGAAAACTCTGCGTTTCATTTAGAAACCAACGACATTTATGGGCTTTGTTATGTTTATGACTTCAGGCTTTACTCCAGTGACCGAGCCCAATAGCAAATAACCCTAATCCCTTTTACCAGCTCCTGATCGAATTGCAGGATTCTTCTCAAGATTTTTTTCCGCCATTGGAACACTGGTGTTTGTGAAGTCGTCATGACGAATCCGTTAGTAGAGTTTCGATTGGGTCATCTAAGANTTATGGGCTTTGTTATGTTTATGACTTCAGGCTTTACTCCAGTGACCGAGCCCAATAGCAAATAACCCTAATCCCTTTTACCAGCTCCTGATCGAATTGCAGGATTCTTCTCAAGATTTTTTTCCGCCATTGGAACACTGGTGTTTGTGAAGTCGTCATGACGAATCCGTTAGTAGAGTTTCGATTGGGTCATCTAAGATTCTTCTCCGTCAATCGAAACGGTTACGTTTACAAATCCATCACATTAAATCTCTTCTTAACTTCATAACCCTCTTAAGGCGGTGTCTCTACTCTTATAAAAGGTAAAGCTTTCTTCCCTTGGACATCATCATCTGAACTTGTGAAAATAGTAAAGACAATTTTTTCTCTGAAATGTCTGCTTCATCAAAATCCTTTTTTCTGTTTTGAAGACAGACCGATGTTCTTCAACCATGGAGGTGGGATTTCTCAGATTCTGGAAAGCCAAAATCGTCAAACGTGGTGGGGAGCGTGGATATGCTCTTACTGGATTCCGAGGTATTTTTTTGAAAAAACTCATGTTCATACTGTTCTTGACTTCATGTTTAGATCTTTGTTAGGTGTTTCTGTTCGTAAACTCCTGTTAGTAGTGTTCTTGAACTTTATCTCAATTAATATGATTCTGTTTTTTTAAATCATGTTCATATTGTTCTTAAACTAAACTCATGTTCAAAGTGTTGTTAACTCATGTTCATATTAATTATAAAATGTTTGTTGATTATGCTCTTTTTTGTCTTCAGATATTTATAACTCAATTCGGTTTTACAGGGCGGCTACGATGGTAATGGAGAAGTTATGTCTGCTGCTTAGGCAGCACCTAACTCATGAGCAGGTCTAACTGGTGTCAACACAACTAATTCTGCAGCACAAGGATGTTCCAAGATGGTCATGAAAGCATGCAAGGCATAGATTAAAATAATGAGAGATCTGGCATCAATATTTCTTCTTTGAATAATGCTTGCGCATTGTTTTTATTTCCTTTGTATTGAACAAGTTTGTTTATGTTTCCCTTCTCTTTTGGATAATCTATGTTTTGTTCAGACTTTCTTTATAAAATATGTCTCAGTCACAAGCAATCTCTCATTATACGACTAAAATTGGATCATCTATGAGATTTTATCGGTAGTGTTCTGCTTATATACGCCGTATGAACATTGTCCTTTATGTAAAAATATTAGACTATATGATAAATAACAATACACGTATACATGACCAAACAATCATAAACAATTTCACTAAGTTTAGAGTTTGTTCCCCCCCTTTCATTTAGCTTTCACTTGAAGTTTATATACGCTGCAGTGAGATTTATATTGATAGCCAAGGGTCTACTAATTAAAAAATATATAATGCTATAAGAACACGTGTTTGAGTAATATGTGAAACATATTTCTCCATTCTCTTGGTCTTATGAAAATTTGCAGAAACATCTACTGTTCATACATATACAATTTGATCGTAATAACACAACATTTACAGTAGCCTGTAGGTGAGAAGCAAAATTGTTCAGAGTTACTCTTCAATCGACTTAAATTGATGTATATGTAATTCACTATATATTAATACACACGACAGTTGGTCCAACTTATTGTCTGTAGGAAACAAGTGTTTCACCCTCATCTTCGTAGAATCGATTTACCCTTAATCTAGAATCCTAACAATAAGCAAACGTCTATGAATGATGTTAGTACCAGCCCCCTCTAAATCAGATATATTGATCCCATCCGTTGTTATCTTACAGACATTGTTTCCTGCAGATACTTTATATCGTATGAATTAATGAACATAACACCAGTTGCGTGAGAGATAAGGTTTTTTTTTTATAATGCTGGATTTTTTATTATCAAAATGAAAGAAGAAAAACAGAGTTTACTGGGACACTCTCAACAAGCAGAGAGACCCAAGCCACAATAAAAGATAAATTAAACAGCTTAACAGGGTTTAGCAAGACAGATTAAGTATCAGAAGATACCCTATGCACCATCCTACGAGACGAATCCCTGCCACTGAGACAAACAAACAGTTCATTCTTTTACCACGAAGGAGACCCTCATAACATCAGTGTGAAACACAGGCAAAAGCTTTCCTTGCAGTTACCACTTGCAACCAGAGAGGACCACCTGAAGCAACGTAGGACTGCAGCCTCTGTTCATTAGTTATCTGGTTCCAAGGAACGTTGATGATCATTGAATCTCCAACAAAACGTTAGTTTCAACAAGCTCTGAGACACTGGTAGGATTCTGCAGAATTAACACCATACGTTTGTTTCTCAGAAATGCATGGTCTTACAAAGCTTATTGATGGTGGCTATGAGTAAGGTAGAAGATATGATGATTTGTGGTTGTACTCATATGAACCATAGCTTTCCATCACCCAATTCAAATTCTTTGCATATTTCCTTCACCTGTAAACCAGAGAGAGAGAGGACCAATTATAAAATATCTCAGATAAACGATGCTTTGATTCCAGATATCTCAGTCTTCTTTTTAAGTACCAAAAAAACCAAAAACAAAAACTCTTAATGTTATGGGAAAAGAAAACGACTTATGACTTCATCCTACTCAGATAAACATAGCGACAAGGGTTAGATGCAAAGTATTTTTCTCAGGAAACAATTCAACACTATCATACAAATCATATAAATCAGAGGCCAAGGCAATACTCCAACTACAAAAGCTTAAGTTATTTCCACAAATGCATTCAGATAGCCAAGATCACATTCCATTTTATGTATAAAACACACAATGAATTAAAAGCAGAGGCGGACCTAGAAATTTAGTTAGACTGTACCACATAATTTTTTTAATTATAATTGGTAAAATAATTAACATAATATATATGAAAATATATGAAATATGATTTAAAATTAAATTTAAACAGAAATAGTTTATGACAACTAAAAACACAAAACTCTAACAACTAAAATTTATCTATGTTGGTTTTTGATACTGAAAAGCTTGAAGTGAATTCTCTAAATTGGCTTCTTGATGCACACACTGATTTTAAATTATATCATAGGTACATGAAAAAATGCATTTGTAAATGGTAAACAATGAGAAAAAAAATACTAAAGATGGTGTATAAACTTACTTAGAAAATATGTGAACAAACAACTTTTATAAATAACATTCGGTTGCTTTGACTATGGTAAAAAATGGTAAAACAAATAAGTATTTTTTCTGCAGAAACTTTTTTAAAAGATAATAACTTACTATTGAAAAAGCTTAGTGCATCTCTAACAAGTCTCTTTATTTATTATGGGGTTCATCTTTAAAACAAGAGGATGAAAGGATGGTTCTCCGACGGTGATTTTAAATTTTTTTCTTTTATTATATAATTTAGTCCTCAATTTTATATATAATAAAAGAATATGTGATTTTTAATAAAAATAACAAAACTGCATAATATATATATTTAAAATAACTTTCACAAATTAAGATGAAATTAAATATTATTATTTGCATCCCGCCCGTAGGGCGGGCTTATCCTAGTANGTTCTCCGACGGTGATTTTAAATTTTTTTCTTTTATTATATAATTTAGTCCTCAATTTTATATATAATAAAAGAATATGTGATTTTTAATAAAAATAACAAAACTGCATAATATATATATTTAAAATAACTTTCACAAATTAAGATGAAATTAAATATTATTATTTGCATCCCGCCCGTAGGGCGGGCTTATCCTAGTAGTAATATAAAACAAAAGATATCATCAGCTATTCAATCAACTTGTAATTACCTTTTTTTCTTTTCTAAGTAGTTTTCAAAATCTATTTGCAAATTGGAGAAAAGAGTTGAAATTTTCAAAGTCATTACCAAACCCAAAGCTGAGATAAACACGTGATCATCACTGGTCACACACACATAAACACTATTTAATTTGACCTTTGGGCTTAATCATGGACCACAAAACTCTCTTTGCTGACCTCATCTCACTTATCACTCTCTCCTCCCAAAATATATCACAATCCTCTCTCATGTAACTTGTTATGTTTTTCCACTTTAAACAAAGATCCATAAACAATGGAGCCAAAAGAGAAACACAGTGTTTCACTATAACAGTAAAATAGAGTTAAGACTAGTCTTCACAGGCCTCTGCAGCTGAAATCTTAGAATCAAGCTTGTTCATAAGAGTCTCTGACACATACTTGGCCACAGAGATCATGTCGAGGATGACGCTCGGGTCCAAAGCAGACCCACCTCTTTTGGTTAATCCACATATGTGTCCTGCCCGGTTCACGGATATAGACACAGCTGAGCTCATCTGAGACTCCTCTTCCTCTGTTGCATCAACTATGTAATGCTTTCCCACCTGATAAAACCAAAGACAAGCTTAATAAACTTCACCAAAAAGATGTCTATGTGATTCGAGAGAATCAAGATATGCTTTACTTTAGTTAACGTGACTATGACTGGGACATTAGAAGTGTCAAACTGTTGATACTCTTCATCGCTGATGTCAATCTCTGGTTGCTCATCATCCGCCAGTTCAGCTGAAACTTGGACTTTTGGTAAAGCGGTGTTGGTTAAAGCAGCCTACAGGGAAGTATTAGTCAACAAGTGCATTACTATATACTCACTACCGTCTAACTTCTAAGTGTTAAAAAGAGAAAACGAAACAACATCTAATGAGAAACTACCTTAATGGCAGCACTTAGTGCATCCAATAGGTTCCCATCTGAACTAATAACAAGCCCATCTATATAAAGGTCCCAGCAGACTCTTCCTTCTTTGATCAAAAGCGAAGATAAATTTATCCCAGCGCCTGTTTACCAAAATGGAGTTGATATACACATTACAAGCTGAGAGTGTAACAAATTTAGAGGTTAAAAAAAAAAGAAACTGCATCAACATGTTTACAAACCAGCTCCGCTTTTGCCACCTAGAAGACATGTTTGAAGAGCCAAAGCAAGCTCAGAAGACAATTCCTCACCTCCTCTTCCCTGAATAACAGAAAAATCACAAAGTATTAGCCACTTAGAGATTAAAGCTTTAGAATTTGAAAACAAATTTATGAATATGATAACCAAAACCTCAGATAAAACAAAGCTATGATTCTATTTGAAAGATACACACTAGGAGAACCAGAGAACATATGTGACAAGTGCTAGATAGAGTCAAAACCAGGCAATATCATATATAATCTCACCCCGAATATAGGTTCTGCTGTTGGGCTGCAATCAATAAAAACAGCAACCTTTCCTTTATCTGGTTGAAGCGAGCTTGGCCTCCCAATCTCAGCCTAATTACACAAAATCATTGAGTTAACATTCACAATAAAAACAGTAAAACTACTCATTCAACAATGACAATGTAAAAAGAATGATAAAGGAAATACCTTTACACTAGCAATCACATCAGTTCCACCTATCTTAACTCTAGCTGAACCATTAGCCTTAAACCCAATAAAATAGTAAGAGAATAAGCAAAATCTGTTGGAAACAGAGGAGCTCTCAGAGTCAATTACATTAGTACCTGCGAAATAACACCTGTTTCAACGTAGGTATGACGGTAAGTCAATCTTTTCCGACCATCAGTTCGAAGTTCCTGAGCAATCCCGCCTTTTAAAAAGTGTTGCTCCCCAACAGAACACGCCACCATCACTACACAGAGACATCAACAAAGTAACTACCTTTACACATCACAAACCAAAAGAATATAAACCCACAAAGCTTCTTTACCTTCTTGGAGAATTTGATAGAAGAGAGAGCTCTGAGTTTCCCTTCCCGGCGACTAATTGGTACAAGGAGGAGTGACAACTGCCGGTAGGGTTTTAAACTTTAATGATGGCTTGAACATAATTATTGAACTTTATTAAGGGTAATTTGGTCATTTACGCCTTTTTATTTCTTACTCTTCTCTGTTTTGTTTTTTTTCTTTTCCTTCTCAATTTTTCCGGGAAGAAGTGCGACCGAGCGAGCTTTGGTGCCGATGGGTCGCTCGAAACTAGCTTCTCGTCCTGCTACTGAAGACACGAATCCAGGGTTCGTTTAAAGATTCAACCTTTATCCGTTTTTAGCTCGAATTAATCAATCTAGGGTTTATCCTCTGCTTCCTTACTTGTCTTTGCGAGTAAACATTTCTCTATAATCCAATTCAATTGTGTTGATTGCCATGTTTGACTAACTTGAGCTGAGTTATATAGGTTATGGGTTCATGCCTTGTCTTTATCTTAAAGTCTTGATTTTTTTGGCTGTTTCAGAAAATCTAAAAGGAAAAAGTTATCCTCTGGTACTGAGAATGCACCAGGACCTTCAGTTTCAATTGGTATGTGTATGAATTAACGTATTGTCAAGCTACTGTTCTCTAAAGTTCTTACCTTTTTTTATATATTTTTGGTAAAATTGTTATGTTATGTTTCATTGCAATGCACAATGTAGGAGGTGAAGGTGGGAATGAGAGGAAGCCTGGACTTTACTGTTGTAACTACTGCGATAAAGATTTGTCTGGTTTGGTTCGTCTCAAATGTGCGGTTTGTGTTGACTTTGACCTTTGTGTGGAATGCTTTTATGTCGGTGTTGAACTTAGTCGTCACAAGAGTAATCATCCGTACCGTGTTATGGTTAGTTTCCAACGTTGAGAGCAGTGTGTGTTGTTTTTGTTTGTTTGTGTTGAATGAATGAATCTACCCTTTTGTGTTACAGGACAATTTGTCTTTTCCACTTGTTTCTTCTGATTGGAATGCGGATGAAGAGATCCTCCTTCTTGAGGTAATCATTATACGTTTGTGATTGTACTCTATGGAGATTTGGTTTGACTCTTGGGAGGTTTGTCTATTGTCTTAGGCTATTTCAACATATGGGCTTGGGAATTGGAAAGAAGTTGCAAACTATGTTGGCAGTAAGACACAGACTGAGTGTATTGAGCACTTCAACTCTGCTTACATGCAGTCACCTTGCTTTCCCCTTCCGGTAAGGAGGACACATGATCTCCAGATAGTTTTGACATTGTCTCGTTTGGTTTACTCAAGCTCTTCTTTGTTTAGGACTTGTCTCATACAAATGGAAAGAGCAAAGATGAGCTTCTCGCTATGAGTAATGAGCATGCAGTGAAAAAAGGTCTGCTTGGTGATTTGTAACATTGAAAGAAGAAAACTGCCACCTCATTTTTGCTTTTTTTTTTGTTACAGAATCACCTGCACTCGTGAACCTATCTCCAAAAGAAGAGATGCCAATATCAGTTGAAATCAAGTATGTGTTTTTTTATGTAACAACAATTTCTCTACGTTTACGATGTTGATTGGACCTAATCTAATACTTCTGTGCTTTAATGAGCAGAGACGAAGCTTCAGGGAAGGACGATTCAGTAGACCAACCTCTGCCTGTGTTAGCTGGAGGTATGTGACACATGCTTTTTATGACTTTATCTATTGCCTCTATATAGAATTGTAAACGTGATTTGCTTTTAGATTTTTAGTTGATGAAGCAAATTATCCGTCTCTCATACTCTTAACCTCAAATATTAGTTCCAAATGTAAAGTAATACTTTTTTTTGGACAGTCAAGAAGAAAGCCAATGCACCACAGACTCAGGACACCATCAAGTTGGAAGGTTTGTCTATTGTGGAACAAGTTTATATGTAAAGTTATATTTGAAGGAAACATAAGCTAAAGGTTGTTAATGACGCTTTGTGTCTCAGCTGCAAAACAACCATCTGAGAGGAGTGTAGGGGAGAAGAAACCGAGACTTCCTGGAGAGAAAGTCCCATTTGTGACGGAGTTATATGGCTACAACTTAAAGCGGCAAGAATTTGAGATCGAGTATGACAATGATGCTGAGCAACTACTCGCTGAGATGGAATTTAAGGATTGTGACACAGATGCTGAGCGTGAGCAGAAGTTGCAGGTTCTTCATATTTACTCGAAAAGGTACATTTTGTCACATTTTAATCCAAATTGTTCTGTTATGAGTCAATGCTACAGCCAAGATCGTGTGTTTTTGCTTTCTCCGCAGGCTTGATGAGAGGAAGAGGAAGAAGGAATTCGTTCTGGAAAGAAACTTACTGTACCCTGATCAGTTTGAACTGAGCCTTTCAGCAGAAGAGAAACAAATGTACAACAAGTACAAGGTCTTTGCGCGGTTCCACTCCAAAGAAAAGCACAAGGAACTGATTCAAAAGGTCATTGAGGAGCACAGGAGTCTCAAAAGAATCCAGGATCTTCAGGTTTGATGCTTATTCTTTAACCAAGGACTTGAGAACCGATTGCAAAATCAATCAGGTGGGAACTAAGTAAGGTTTTTTGCTTAATGTTGCTAGGAAGCAAGAGCTGCTGGTTGTACAACAACTACAGAAGCTAATAGATTTATAGAAGAGAAGAGAAAGAAGGAAGCTGAAGAAAATTTGGTGAGACTAAACCATGGTGGACAAGGCAGTGTAGGTGGTAAAGCACTAAAGAGTCCTAGAGGGTTACAAAGAAATTTACAGCCGTTTGGTTCTGACTCGCTGTCAAAGGCCACGCTTCCAATAATATGTAGCTCACTGGACAATTGGGATGTCAGTGGTCTCCTTGGAGCTGACTTACTCTCTGAGACAGTAAGTAAACACTATTTTTAGATTTGTTGATTTCGTTTGGCATTTGTTTCCAGTCCTTGGTTTGACAGATTGAAGCTGTGTTCTTTGTGCAGGAAAAGAAGATGTGCAACGAGATGAGAATACTACCTGCACACTATTTCAAAATGCTGGAAACTTTGACAAGCGAGATAAAGAAAGGGAAGATAAAGAAAAAGTCTGACGCTTATAGCTTCTTCAGAGTAGAACCGAGTAAAGTAGACAAAGTGTATGATTTGCTGATTCAGAAGGGAATAAAAGGCGAGTCCTCATGACTCATGAGCCCTATGGTTGTGTACCTATTTGGTTCATAATCCTAACATGTAATTCTCAAACAATGTATTAGCCATGTACATACATAGGAAGTGTGTATACAAAAGATGTTGCTGATGTTGTTGGTTCCATATCTTGTTCTCTGTTAGTTTTGAAAGCTTGACAATTTTAAAGGATGTTCCAGTTAAAGCTACATATGATTCCAGTTTTGTCAATAAGAGATCAACATTGAGACATTGCATCACTTTTTTTTCAGAAATAAACTGCTAAAAGAACACGATTCTTGGGTGACAAGAAACTGCTCTGAATCAGATTATCATCCAACAACAACAAAATAAAAGGAGAGCCATACCTAACCAAAAGCTGTACCTACCATCTTCTTAAGGTTGCAAGCATTACTATCTTTGTCCAAGCTTCTTCCCGTTCTCTGGTAACCAAGGCTTGAAAGCACCAGGGAGACAAATATTCTCCAAGTAAAAGAAAAAACCACGCAGCAACTCCAACCTCGCCTTATCATCACCCTCCACAAGCTTGTATTCTTTATCGAAATCACATACCTTCTCAAGATAAGACAGTCCCAGCTCAGAAGTCTCATAGCTACTCTCTCTTCCCTTTCTCAGTTCTCTACATCTACTCACTCGTTTCTTCATCGATGCCTGACCAGAGAGTAACAACAACTCTCCTTCATCGAACGGTTTCTCAAGAACATCCATTAGCTCCCTTCTAAACACACAACTATCACCACTTTCATCCTCTGTACTATCATCCTCAAGATCAATCACGGTCTTACTCTTAGACACCACAAAAGGTGTGGTTTCTCCATCTGTGAATGGAGTATCACTAACCTCAATTATATCATCATCATCAGAACAAGACTCAAGCTCAACCTTTACTTTTTCCAATAGATCCTTTTCAGGGGGACTTTTAGAAGAGTCTACAAGCCATGTGAGGTAACTCATGTAATCCTTATCCACACTCTCTTCCACACTCTTCTTCCTTGTCTCATCAACAGCCTTAGTCTCAGTAACTCTATGTACTCGCTTCACAGGAACAACCTTTGATGTCTCTGCAGCCTTATCTCTCTTCTTCCTTAGTTCAGACATCTTGTTGTCTCGTTGGATGACTTCTTTGGTTCTAACCAATGGAACATCCCGTAACGTGTCAACCTTTGACTCTATGAACTTTCTAGCTTTGTTGTCTCGTTGGATGACTTCTTGTGCTTTAACCAAGGGAACATCCCATAAAGTGTCAACCTCTGTTGACTCTGACACTTTCCTAGCTTTGCTGCCTCGTTGGATGACTTCTTGGGCTCTAACTAATGGAACATCCCATGAAGTGTCCTCAACCATTGACTCCGCCAGTTTCCTAGCTTCGTTGTCACGTTTGATGACTTCTAAGGTTCTATACAATGGAACATCCCATAAACTCTCATCCTCTAACTCGGCTATCTTCCTCTTTGATCTGTTTGAATCACTAGAAAACATGTTGAGGTTAAGCTTACGAATCTCAGATTCTCCACTGTCATCTTCAAACGGAGTAACTTTATCACTGAGATGATCAAAGAACAACTTGTAGTCCTTATCAACCATAAGATCATCATCAAGAGAAAGAACTGGAACATCAATTTCTTTAGACATGGTAACTGCATTCACCATAAACCTTCTGCAATCATCATCATCACTATCCACAATGGAGTCTGCATTCACAACATAGTCAACACACACAATGAGTTTTCATAACAGAGTGTTCATTCCAATAAACAAGAAAGAATAAACTCTCAGGGGAATGAATCAGAGAAGTAAAGAAACCCTAAAAAGATTATATGCATACCGTTTTGGAGAGACTATATGCTTGTGAACATGAACTTGAGAGGAGGAATCAGAAAAGGGAGAGACAAAAAAAGGAAATAACGAGATTTTAGGGTTTAATTGCACAAGAAAGACGAGAGAAAGGGACTAATGAAAGCGCCTAAGGAAAATCTTTAACTTCAGGTTTCAGCTTAGTATAGTCCACGTCATATTTTTCCTTATTTGTTTTCCTAAATATCTATGGGCTATGTGTGTCATGTAATTTATCAATAAAGAAAGATTAAAATTCAATAAATATAGTTTGTAGGAATCAAGAAAATCATCATAATGAAGAGAGATTTTCTAACTGATTTGTGTGATTGAGGGAAGCAAAAGAAGAGCCATGCATTGGTTGAGTCGGTGACAAGGCAAGTAGTATAGGTTGCTGTGAGGAAGGAACAGTAACCAAACTTCAGCATCTTTTCAAGTATTTATATTTGAGTAAGTAATACTCTTTGTACTGTCTGGTCAATCAATGTATAGCTTCTGTGGACTAGTACTCAGCAAAATAAATTTATTGAGCTCAAAGCTGTGACATTAATGGGTGATCTCATCACTTGATAGACCTCTGATGAAGATGCAATTAGTAGTACTATCTTTGAGTTGCTCTACTTGCCATTTGTTTGTTTATACAAAAATCGGTCTAGACGACGCTTAGACATCTATGCAGTTGATAAATCAGACCTAAACAAAACGATTTTTTTCCTTAAAAATAGGTTTAGATGTTAAAAAAAAATTGATGTAATCGTCCATTTAATCAATAATCTCATATAAACTCCCTAATTATAGGATTGAACATTGCTTATTTATAATTATTCAATGATCATTCAGATTTACAAAAGTGTAGATAAACATAACCTTCAACCAAACAGAAACAACTTAGTACCAGACTCATGGCTTAAACCTCACAGAATCAAACATTGGACTCATCAAGAAAACCAAACCACACTTAGTTTACTAATCACATTAGTAAGAGTTTGGAGTGAAGAAGAAGATATCATCAAGCCTATCATTACTTGGAGAGTTCCCTCCATAAACCAACAAACCTTCCTTACCATCCCTTGACCCAGCTGCAAACGCACACCATCCTCTAGGCCCTGGATGCTCCTCCTCTGTTCCAAACCCATCTTCCCATTTCCTCCACTCCAACGTCTCTGTATCAAGCCCATAAGCTTCAGCTGTGAAACACCCTGCTCCCATATGCCCTAAATCGCTAGGATCAACCTCTCCTCCAAATATCACAATCTGTTTCCCAACAACAGCAGTGGAAAACACACTTCTCGCAGAAGGTTTCTCCCCTTTTGTCTCAACTTCTTTCCATTCTCCTTTACCTATGTCGAAACAATGAACATCATCTGCTTCATCTCCTGTGAATCCATACACAACCCATATCTTCCCTTCAACCACCTCAAGCCCTGGACCTCCTCTTCCTTTACAACCCTCTCCTGGAGATGGGAACTTAATCCATTTCTCATCAACAACATTGTACGCCCAAAGATCCTTGAGACGTCCATCAACTCCACACCCACCAAACACATACACGTTCTGAGAATCAGCAGTAATAGAGTGGTAGCTTCTGTTTTCAGGACCTGTTTCCCCTGAAGAGAGGAGCTTCCACTGGTTGGTCACAGTGTTGAAAGAGTAAAGCTCGTTGAGCTCTTGGTGATTCTCGTCACGGCCACCAAAGAAGTAAATGGTGGATCCTACAGAAGCCATGGCTACACCTACTCTAGGAGGAGGAGCTTCCCCTGAAGCTTCTTGGATTGACCATGTTAAAGTGTTGACGTCGAAAACGTAGAGATGGTTGTCAACAGGGACACGTGGTTGGAACTCGCCGCCGAAGGCGTAGACTTTGTTTCCTACAAGAGCTATGGCGTGAGAGCTTCTTGCTCCTGGTCCAGTTCCTTTCTGTTTTAGCTGAAAACAGAGAAGACAACAACAGAAAATAAACTATTCAGATATTTACAAAAATTAAAACACTCAACCTGTAGTTATCAATCAACAGTCTTTCCTCTCTTTTTTTTTTTTTAATAAGCGTTAAGATAAGTATTAGCTGAAAATTAATTGCAAACAAACAAGAGTTGAGTCAGTAGTGACGAACTCATTCGCCACTAATCCAATAAGCTAATAATATTTTTATGACAGAAAGCATAAAACTACAAGCAAGTGATATGGAGAAGATGACAACACATTTAAGTATTCAAATAGGATTGCAAAATTCAATCTTTCATCATCAGTAATCAAACAATCAACAAAGTTTTCTCCTTTCACTTATCAAAATACACAAAAAAAAAAGTTTTCTCTTTTTTTGTTTGTTCTTGATCATTATAGTAAGTATTAGCTTAAATCAATCAAAAACACAATAATATGAACAACTCTGTTAACTATAACAGACTAAGGAAAAACTAAGACTTTAACCGATGAATGAAATATAAAATCAATAACAAGTAAAATTAGTCTAAGATTCGGACGATTAAAGAAGCTATGTTGTAGTGAAAGAAGATATTTTTGATAGAACCTGAACCCATTTGCCTTCCATTGGAGTCGATGCCATCGTTGCTGTGCACTGAATGATGACTTGGCAAAGGACTAGTTTTTATGTTTTGGTTTGTGTTTGGGTTTCTCCTCTCTTATTTAAAAGCCCAGAGAGGAGGTGGAGAAAACGAATCTTCATTTGTTTGTTTACTATAAACAATTCACTGATAATGTATCTATGTTTATGTTTACCTCAAAAGAAAATATTTAAAAATGTGTCCTTGTAACATAGTATGTGATTACTTTAATAAAATGGATGGATTTGACGCCAACCAAACCAAGAAGCAGCATGGATTTTGCTGTATCCCAAGCAAATAAACAGAAAAAGACATGATTTAACACAAAATATTTATATTCCGTATGTCCTAAAGTCCAAGTAACATGAGAAAATTATCGTCAATCTTATTATAATGGGTTGTTTATTATCCCTGAATAATTTGGGCCAGCTTGTATTTGTTGTTCCGTCATATGTAGTAGTAGATTGGGCCAGACTGTATTGTATGATTAATAGACTTTTATTGCTTAGAACATGATCATTCCATTTATCAATACCATTAAAATATGATTATTCCATTAATGAGATTTTTATGTTTTCCAAAAATATCATTAATATTATGCATAAATTGAATTTTTCATTAATGGTAATTTGATTTTTTTTCTGAGCCTAAAAACTATATGCAAATCGAGTTTTATTAATAGGTCAAATTCACCTTCTAGTTATTAGCCCGTTGGCCCTGCTCCACTTGACCCACCATGAAACGGATCAATTGATACTTGAAAAAACTAAGTTGCGGGTGTATGTTAAATTTGTTTTTTACGCGGGATGGATGCGGATTTTTCTAATTTCAATTGTGGGTATACGATAATCTACAAAAATAGAAAAAAAAAATTTAAATTATTTTTCAAAATTATACTAAATTGCGTTAAAATAATTATTTTTTTAAAATTAAAAATTTCATTAAAATACTTAATATTATTTTTTAGAAAAAAATAAAAAATTATTATATTTATTATTAATAATTATCCGCAAAATTAAGTGGACAAATACGGATAAAATTTATTTTCTTTGCGGATTAGGCGGGTTGGACAAGACGAGTTTGACCCGCTTCCCAGCATCAAACGTAGTTAACTGATATTATTTTTCCAAAATAAAACTCCATAATTACATATAATAAATTAAAATCTACAATAATTTTAGAAAGTTATATTAGACAAAACATTTTATATGTTCAAAACGAAAAAAACTTATGGATCCATCTATAGATAAAACAACAAAATAGTATTCGCGCTTAAAAAAGAACGTATCAAAAATCTAGTAATCACTAAAAACCCTAGTTACATGGTTCTAAACACTTCTTATTGGATCATAAGATGGACCTTTGTGTGGGCTTCAATACTCCTTTCAACGGAGTGTTGATGTTTGGTCGTTTGTTCTTGCCCTGAGGATACGTGTCTTGTTTGATAATGCTAAATGGGCTTACCTTGGAGGTTTCACAGAAGAAAAACAAGTATAAGCAAAAACATTTGATCATTGTTGTCTCAGTGATTGGTTCTTATGAGTGATACCTGTTGTTGTATAATCAGAAAAGCAAAAGAAGAGAAACAGCTTCATGGTTGAGAGTGTACTGCAGCTTGGTCCAACGTTTATCAAACAGGGACGGTTGTCTTCAACTAGGTCTAATTTGTTTCCTCGTCAGTTCGTTGATGAGCTTTCCAAGTTGCAGGATAGGGTCCCTGCTTTTTCTCCAGAGAAAACAAGGCGCTTCATAAAGACCGAGCTTGGAGCTCCTATTAGTGTAATGTATAAAGAATTTGAAGACCAACCTATAGCTGCAGCTAGCCTTGTGGCTCTTAACTAACCACCTTTGTATAAACTTAATTGCTTAACTTTTTTTCTGCATTCCATCTACATAATGATGTTTGTATTTTAATTTTTCAAAGTTTGTTCAAGCAATTCTCACACTTCATTTGGACTTTTTACCATTTTTCCACTAATCTAAGAATATGATGGAATCCATCAACGGTTAAAGATTTACTGGCAGTAATGGTAATTATGACCGATAAAAATTTAATTCATTAAATAAAATTAGTTTTAGGGTTTTTTGTAACTTACTTAGTTTAGTGGTTTTTACGCAAAACAAACTTAATTGAGGGTTTTAATGTTAAAAATCCAAGTTTGAAATGGATATTTAAATTAAGTTGGTGCTTTAAATGATCCAAAAGAAAATTCATGTTTTTTCAACTAAATTTGAAAATTGGTGATTTTAATGACAATTTTTCTCATTGTAAATGTACTTGTTTAAGAACCAGAATATTTAAAACATATTCTACTTGTCTCAAAAATATAACCTGAACAAATTTCCAAACCAATACACTTTCGATCATAGAAGAAAGACTGAAAATACAAAAAAAAAACTCTGGCTAGAATGAAGAACAAAAGTGATACCGGAAAACCATCACATTACCACTATTTTATTTCTTCTTGTTGATATCTCTCAACGCTTTTGGTGTCCTGAGCTTTGTTGTTGGTTTGGTGCTGATCAGTTTCTTTTTCAAATGAGGATTGTCATTGTTGTTCTCTGTTTCGCCGAAGACTCTTTTTCTAGTAACCATTGTTCTCAGGCTTTTGGGTGATTCAATATTCTTAGTTGCTGTCATTTTCTGTTGCTCCTTTTTAGTTTCCCTTCAGGTTCTTTAATCTGTACAAGAAACCATTAACTAAAAGATCCTGCGGATACAAGAGAATCTTTCGACTGATTTATTCTCAAATTACTTAACCTTCTTCTGGAGGATAAGAGCCTCATATTTTTCTTGACGGTGTGCATGTTGCTTTTCTGATTGGTCCTTTTTAGTTTCTTTATCTTTTCGCCTTGAGCTTGTTTTTTTTTTGCACTAATTCCTCCACCTTTAAGAGTTATACATAAACTAATAAGGAAAAGGTGAGACAAATATTTGAAGACAAAAAAAACTTGGACGAAGTCATACCCTTATGTTCATAGCAACTTGCTTCTTCGCATGACCCAACTCAAACCCTTTAACACGAATTGCAAATTTGAGTGAGTCTAGAGTCTCATTCATATCGTGCTCACGGAGACTTATTTGTACAAACATGAGAGTCTTTGAGACACCTTCTGCATCATTTGAACATGCTCATCAGCTAACCAAAAGGACAGTGTAACCATAGAAAATCATGAAGATGTTTACCTAGTGAATCTTGAAGCAAATGTGTTAGTTTTGAGTTGATTGTTAATATTCTGAAAAGACTTAAAGCACGCTAGATATATAAATCTCAAGAAAGATGGAGAGGAAGAATTTTGCACATGATTATACTAACCTGTACGGAATGTGTGTACACTTTCTTGCCAAAGTACTAAACACAGTCACAAGATGTGAAAGCGATGTGTTGATATTCCATGATTCCTTCAGACGCTCACCTTACACGTCAATCTTTGCCGGTCTCTCACTTCCTGCTAAATCTACAGGCCAAAGCTTGCTTTTTGTGCAATCACCATTTATCTTGTTATTTGCCTCCAACTTTATATAGAGCATGCTGTGAAGAGAGCTTAATGTATAACAACAATCCTCATAATGTAACATAAAAAATGAGTGAAAGCCAAAAATGCAATCACCATAGTGAGAGGAGCATAAATCCAAACTTACGAGTGAGAGTGGCTACTTTGTTCAATCACATTGTTAGATGTAACAGGTTTTTTTTTTTGCTCCCACATTTGAGCAATTCCCACACTTCATTATAGTGTGGAAATTGCTTCAACGTGGGAGCAAGAAAAGAGCTGTTGCATCTAACAATGTGAATGAACAAAGTAGCCGCTCTCACTCGTAAGGCTGGATTTATGCTCTTCTCACTATGGTGATTGCATTTTTGGCTTTCACTCATTTTTTTGTTACATTATGAGGGTTGTTGTAATACATTAAGCTCTCTTCGCAGCATATTCTGTATAAAGGTGGAGGCAAATAACAAGATAAATGGTGATTACACAAACAACAAGCTTTGGACGGTAGATTTATTAAGAAGTGAGAGACCGGCAAAGATTGATGTGTAAGGTGAGCGTCTGAAGGAATCATGGAATATCAACACATCGCTTTCACATCTTGTGGCTGTCTTTAGTGCTTTGGCAAATGTACACACATTGCGTACATGTTAATATAATCATGTGCAAAATTCTTCCTCTTCATCTCTCTTGAGCTTTATCTTTCTATTGTGCTTTAAGTCTTTTCCGAATATTAACAATCAAGAACTCAAAACTAACACAATTGCTTTAAGATTCACTAGGTAAGCATCTTCATGATTTTCTATGGTTACACTGTCCTTTTGGTTAGCTGATGAGCATGTTCAAATGATGCATGAGATGCCCCAAAGACTCTCATGTTTGTACAAATAAGTCTCTGAGAGCACGATGTGAATGAGACTCTAGACTCACTCAAATTTTCAACTCTTGTTAGGTGTTTGAGTTGGGTCATGCGAAGAAGCAAGCTGCTATGAATATAAGGGTATGACTTCGTCCAAGCTTTTTTTTGTCTTAAGAAATTTGTCTCACATTTTCCTTATTAGTTTATGTATAACTTTTAAAGGTGGATGAATTTGTGCGGAAAAACAAGCTCAAGGTGAAAAGATAAAGAAACTAGAAGGGATCGATCAGAAAAGCAACATGCACACCGTCAAGAAAGAGATGAGGCTCATATCCTCCAGAAGAAGGTTAAGGAATTTGAGAATAAGTCAATCAAAAGATTCTCTTGTATCTTCAGGATCTTTTAGTTAATGGTTTCTTATACAGATTAAAGAACCTAAAGTGAAACTGAAAAAGAAGCAACAGAAAATGGCAGCAACTAAGAATATTGAATCATCCAAAAGCCTGAAAACAATGGTTACTAGGAAAAGAGTTTTCAGCGAAACAGAGAACAACAATGACAATCCTCATTTGAAAAAGAAACTGTTCAGCACCAAACCAACAACAAAGCTCAGGACACCAAAAGAGTTGAGAGAGATCAACAAGAAGAAATAAAATAGTGGTAATGTGATGGCTTTCCGGTATCACTTTTGTTCTTCATTCTAGCCGAAGTTTTTTTTTGTACTTTCAATCTTTTCTTCTATGATCGAAAGTACTGGTTTAGAAACTTGTTCAGATTATATTTTTGAGACAAGTAGAATATGTTTTAAACATTCAAATTCTGGTTCCTAAACAAGTACATTTACAATGGGAAAAATTGTCATTAAAATCACTAACTTTCAAATTTAGTTGAAAAACATGAATTTTCCTTTGGATCATTTAAAGCACCAACTTAATTTAAATATCTATTTCAAACTTGGATTTTTAACATTAAAACCCTCAATTAAGTTTGTTTTGCGTAAAATCACTAAACTAAGTATGTAACAAAAAACCCTAAAACTAACTTTATTTAATGCATTAAACCATTATCGATTATAATTATCATTACTACCGGTAAATATTTTAACCGTTGATGGATCCCATCATATTCCTGGATGAGTGGAAAAAAATGGTAAAAAGTCCAAATAAAGTGTGGGATTACTTGGACGTGGGAGCAAACTTTGAAAAATTAAAATGCAAACATCAATATGTACCTTTCTTGGCTTGCTTTAGTCGGTGACTCCCTCTGCTTTTCAGTCGAGTTGCTAAAGCACCTCTAGATGAAATGCAGAAAAAATAAGCAATTAAGTTTATACAAAGGTGGTTGGTTAAGAGTCACAAACCTGTCCAAAGCAGTGGAAAACACACTTCTCGCAGAGGGTTTCTCCCCTTTTGTCTCAACTTCTTTCCATTCTCCTTTACCTATGTCAAAACAATGAACATTATCTGCTTCATCTCCTGTGAATCCATACACAACCCATATCTTACCTTCAACCACCTCAAGCCCTGGACCTCCTCTTCCTTTACAGCCCTCTCCAGGAGATGGGAACTTAATCCATTTCTCATCAACAACGTTGTACGCCCAAAGATCATTGAGACGTCCATCAACTCCACACCCACCAAACACATACACGTTCTGAGAATCAGTAGTAATAGAGTGGTAGCTTCTGTTTTCAGGACCTGTTTTCCCTGAAGAGAGGAGCTTCTACTGGTTGGTTAAAATGTTGAAAGAGTAGAGCTCGTTGAGCTCTTGGTGATTCTCGTCACGGCCACCAAAGAAGTAGATGATGGGTCCTACTGAAGCCATGGCTACACCTACTCTAGGAGGAGGAGCTTCCCCTGAAGCTTCTTGGATTGACCATGTTAAAGTGTTGACGTGTTGTCGATGGGGACACGTGGTTGGAACTCGCCGCCAAAGGCGTAGACTTTGTTTCCTACAAGAGCTATGGCGTGAGAGCTTCTTGCTCCTGGTCCAGTTCCTTTCTGTTTTAGCTGTCAAAAAACAGAGAAGACAACAACAAGAAATAAACTATTCAAATATCTGTAAAGATTAAACACTCAACCTGTAGTTATCAATCAACAGAGTCTTTTTTTTTTTTAATGATCACAAAGAAAACAAGAGATGAGTCAGCACACAAATGCTCAGATCTGTAGTGACGAACTCATTAATATTCTAAAGAGAGAAAGCATAAAACTACAAGCAAGTGATTATAGTAAACTGATGGGACAAGATGACAGGACAAGATAAGTTATTCAAATAGGATTACAAACATCATCAGTAAACAAACTATCAAAAAAAAAAAAAAAATTTTGCTCAAATCAACAAAGTTCTTTCCTTTTAACTTATCAAAACAAAAAAAAGGTCTCTCCATTGATCAAAATAAAATATCTCCTTTAGTTTGTTCTAGATCATTACAGACTACAGTAAGTATTAGATGAAATCAATGAAAAACAAAAGAAGAGACAAAATCAAAATAGTATGAACAAATTTTTGTTTACTATAACAGACTGATGAAAAACTGAGACTTTAACAGATGAATATAAACCAATCACAAGTACAGTACTACAGTTCAATAAAATATTCTAAAATTCTAGAATGGTTAGATCCAGTTGAGATGGATTCTGAGGAATTGAGAAGCTAAAGATATTATAAAAGAACCTGAACCCATTTGCCTTCCATTGGAGTAGCTGCCATCGTTGCTGCACTGCTTCTACCACTGACTGTTGACTTGCCAAAAAAAGGACTAGTTTTAACTTTTTATGAGTTGGTTCGTGTTGGGTTTCTCCTCTATTTAAAGGCCCAGAGAGGAGGTGGAGAAAACAAATCTTCATATTATCTTCATATTATCATATCTTCATATTATCATATAAACAATTCACTGATAATGTATTGTATGTTTTCCTCAAAAAAAAAAGTTAAAAAGTGTGTCCTTGTAACTAGTGCCGGCTCATGGGGAGTGCCCAAGGTGCACATGCATAGGGCCCTGCAATTATCTGAACAGAAAAAAAAGACATTCTTTTTAGCTATAATTTAACACAAAATATGTATATCCCGTACGTCTTAAATTCAAGCAACATAGAAAATTATCGTCTTATTATAATGGGTTGTTTATTACCCCTCTCCCTGACCCCGTGTGAATAATTTGGGCCAGCTTTTATTTGTTGTCCCGTAATATGTAGATGTAGTTTGGGCCAGACTGTATTGTATGATTAATAGAGTTTTATTGCTTATTTTTGCTCATTGTTTTTTTTTAATCACTATATCAAGATTGGATTCGACAAACGTTTTGTGTTTGTAGAATTTCTCTTTTCTCTCTCAAATTTTAGTATGCAGATACCCTTGATCTGACCTTCTTGGCTGTTGAGAAATGTGGTTTCTGCTGATGATCAGTGTGGTCTACGACATGATGTGCTGATAATGCTCTAGTATCAAAGTAAACCAGACACAATAGTTATAGAGCTTGGAGCTAAGGAAAGGAAAGAGTTGAGTGACTAGAGGAACATCTTGTTTTTTTAATTAATATGGGATATCTCGAATTTATGGAATGATCCAAAGTAATTTTTAAAGTAAATATAATGTAAAGATAATTTTTTTCTTCGAATATTCAAATAAGATGAAAGCAATGATCCATATCTACGTGGATGTCCACAATAATATGATTTAGTTTTGCACAACTGATAAATCGAACTTTAAATGTGTTGATATCTTTCTTCTCGTTCATCTCAATGAGATGTAACTGACGAGCAAGAAAACAAACTTTTACCGCCAAAGTGAAATAACTGGCCACTCCATTTTTTAATTAGTAGACAAATGAGTTTCAAAATAGTTTGGAACCAAATCATATAATTTAAAACTCTGTAATGATCATAGGATTATAGAAACCAATACGTTTCAGTTTCATCATTCACAATTTCACATTGTTGATTTTGTTATATTCCCTCAAATGATTATTAGATTTTAAGAAAATTAAATAATGCGCCGAACACACTGCCGACTGACCACACATTAAACGTGAGAAGACGAAGCTAGACACGCACCTTCCATAACTCTTCTTTCTTAATTTTAGGACAAAAAAGTATATAAAGATTCTTTCCCTTGTGTTCATATCCGTGTTTACCCACAAAATTTCAACAAAAGGACAAGACTTTGTTTTTCTCTGGAAGGTAGAAACATCGGAGAGAACAACACACGTCTCATTAGGACAACACCATTACGCAACTCACTCCTTCTCTCTCTCTCTGTTCCAAGAGAGAATCATCTACTTTAACAGCAGATTCTAAAGACTTCCTGTTACGAAAAGAATCTGGGTCTGGGTTGATTTCTGTCATAGCAGTCAACCCAATTCAAGACTCAGTTAAAGGTTCCATTTTTTTTCATTTCATCATAGTCAAATTTATTAAGTCAGATAAAAAACGTTAGCTTTCAATCATTATTCACTGAAATTAGATTCTTGATTGTCTGAAAATCGTTGTGATTCTGTTATATCTGGCTTTGACTGACGCTGTTATGGAATATTTTTTACTATAGTTAATGATGATATACTAATGATGCTTGTTGCATAGATTTCTCATATGCTTTCTAATTAATTTTTGAGTCCAGCTGACTTTTTTTTTTATTGTGTATGTTTCTTGTAGATTAGGTGGAAATGGCTGCGTTATTAGCTTCTCAGAGCTACTGCTATGGCAGTGACGCTTCAAGAACCACCAAAGCTATTGGTTTCAGTAGCTCTCTTGAGAACCCTTTTACTGTGGAGTCCACTCACTCTTTTGGCACCAAGTCCAAGAAGTTCCGTATTGAGATGAGACAATCAGAGACTCCTTCCAAGGCTGGAATCAATGGACGTTCAGTCAAAATGGTCCCTGCCAGTGAGGTTATGAAAAGGAAAGACGGTGTGAATGGTTCAGCTGGGAAAGTTGTTAATGGAGCGAGTTTGGTTACTAGTAGAAGAAACATGAATGGTTCTGCGTCTTCTTCAACTTTGGTTAAGCCACCAAAGCAAAAACCAGAATCTTTCCTTCCTCCACCTGTTGAGGGAGTTAGAGTTCTTCCTTCTGATGAAGGCTTTAGCTGGGCTGATGAGAACTACAGCTCCTTTCAACGGAGTGTTGATGTTTGGTCTTTTGTTCTTGCCCTGAGGATACGTGTCTTGTTTGATAATGCTAAATGGGCTTACATTGGAGGATTCACAGAAGAAAAACAGGTATAAGCAAAAAACTTTCATCTCTGTTGTCTCAGTGATTGGTTCTTATGAGTGTTACCTGTTGTTATGTAATTAGAAAAGCAGAAGAAGAGAAACAGCTTCATGGTTGAGAGAGAGTGTATTGCAGCTTGGTCCAACGTTTATCAAACTGGGACAGTTGTCTTCAACGAGGTCTGATTTGTTTCCTCGTGAGTTCGTTGATGAGCTTTCCAAGTTGCAGGATAGAGTCCCTGCTTTTTCTCCAGAGAAAGCAAGGCGTTTCATAGAGACCGAGCTTGGTGCTCCCATTAGTGTAATGTATAAAGAATTTGAAGACCAACCCATAGCTGCAGCTAGCCTTGGCCAAGTATGTGATACTTAACCACCTTTGTATACACTTACTTGCTTAACTTTTTTCTGCAATTTCATCTACATATTGATGTTTGTATTTTAATTTTTCAAAGTTTACTCCATTAGGTACATAGAGCTGTGTTGCACAATGGCGAGAAAGTGGTTGTGAAAGTCCAACGACCTGGACTCAAGAAACTTTTCGATATTGATCTACGTATGTAACAACTTTTGGGTTTATATAATACAACTTCTGTACGTAGGTGCTTGATGGCATACTTTCTTATCAGGAAACTTGAAGCTGATAGCTGAGTATTTCCAGAAAAGTGAAACATTTGGTACAAACGACTGGGTTGGTATATATGAAGAATGTGCTACGTAAGTCTTTATAACAGAAAGTAGTTGTAGCAACTTGTGGCTCTTACCATGTGATACTGATCTTTCCCTTCGGTTTTCAGAATCTTGTATCAAGAGATTGACTACATAAATGAAGCTAAGAATGCAGACAAGTTCAGAAGAGACTTCAGAAATATAAGCTGGGTCCGTGTACCTGTAAGTTACATCTACTAATCAAAACTCATGAGGTTCCAAGTTCCTGTGATAAAGAAACTCATTCTGGTTACTTGTTTTCATTTGTAGTTGGTCTATTGGGATTACTCTGCCATGAAGGTCTTGACGTTGGAGTATGTACCAGGTTCGTGTTAACACTACTCAATATTTTTTTTTTAGATTGTTATGGTATACACTCTCTTTACGATTGGTGCAATTTAGGTATCAAGATCAACAAGCTAGACGCCTTAGCTGCACGTGGTTATGATCGTTCAAGAATAGCATCACGAGCCATTGAAGCGTATCTTATCCAGGTTAATAAACAATAGGGCAAGAAAGTTTTGTTAAAACTTATGGTTTGAAACTTATGTTTATGTTTTGGCTGTATTTTAGATACTCAAAACCGGTTTCTTTCATGCGGATCCTCACCCTGGAAACCTTGCCATTGATATAGATGAATCAATCATCTACTATGACTTTGGCATGATGGGAGAGATCAAAACATTTACTCGGACGAGATTGCTTGATCTCTTCTATTCTGTATATGAAAAAGATGCCAAAAAGGTATTTACTTCTTTCATGGACTAAAGAGAGAGAGACAAGAAAACTAACCAAATGTTCTTATAGGTCATGAAAAACCTTATAGATCTTGAAGCTCTCCAGCCCACCGGAGATCTTTCATCAGTAAGTCTCACTCTTTCTATATGTGAAGTTTACAAAATGTGTTCTTATTGCCACTTTTGTTTGTGTTTGTGTTAGGTAAGGAGATCTATTCAGTTCTTCTTGGACAATCTATTAAGCCAATCCCCAGATCAGCAACAGACTTTGGCAGCTATTGGAGAGGTACTTGATCAATAATACTCTGCCAGCAAAAGAAGCTGAGCATCTTTCTTAAGCCATTATTGTGGTTGTTTGTTACTATATCATTCTTAGTACTGAAAGGATTCCTCATTTCTATGGCAGGACTTGTTTGCAATTTCACAGGATCAGCCATTCCGTTTCCCATCTACTTTCACATTTGTTATCCGAGCATTTTCCACACTCGAGGGTACCTTTTCCCTCTCTTCTTTTGTCAGAATCTTTAGCAAGTCTCACATACCCTAATGCTCATTCATTTTTTCAGGTATTGGTTACATCCTTGATCCAGATTTTTCCTTTGTGAAGGTTGCGGCTCCTTATGCGCAGGTGTGTTATTATATATAACCTTTTCCCTCCACTGACTCTATAACCATATCATATAACAGTCTTCTCTCTGCTCTTCTGTATTATATTTCGCTATTGCTCATGAACTTCGGTTAAAAAACAGGAACTCCTTGATTTAAAACAAAAGCAAAACTCGGGAACTCAACTTGTCCAACAAATAAGGAAACAAGCAGACGATGTAATGCTTTCCATCTTATGTCATTTTGAGCCTCTCTTGTTTGTTTAATACATGTACTAAACACACACAATGACACACACACACACAAAAATGTACAGGCTAGGTCTTCTACCTTGTCCATGCCATACCGAGTGCAGCGAATAGAAGAGTTTGTGAAAGAACTTGATTCAGGCGATCTAAAACTCCGTGTTAGAGTTCTTGAGGTACATACATTCAACACCCTTGAATCTTCATCATGCTCTTTGATATACAATCACTGAGAATCTCGTTTTGTTTTGTTTTGGTTAAGTCGGAAAGAGCAGCTCGGAAAGCGACGATACTGCAGATGGCGACAATGTATACAGTTCTTGGAGGAACTCTGCTTAACATTGGGGTTACATTTAGCAACCAAGGAAGTCAACTTGTTGCTAATGGATCCTTCGTTGGTGCAGGTATGGAAACACTCTTGTACACGCAAGTTTTATATATGTTCTTGGTTGTTAAAGTGTATTTTCTTTTTTGTGCAGGGATATTCTTGGCATTGGTATTCAGATCTATGCAAAGGGTAAATAAGCTTGACAAGTTTGAGAAGATGATATAATGATTCTTTTTGAAGCTCCCAAAATCAAGTATATAGAATTGGGATGTATAGCAGTATAAAATTTATAAAATACTTGTATAAAAGAAATATTTCAAAGACTCAATAAAAAGATAGTCAAAAGGTACCTGAGACTTGAGTTCATCACTAGAAAAAATACACAACTTACAACTATATATCAATCTTCAAGATTACAAACTAGTCTGCAGCGAAGCCTACTAGAGAAACATATAAACAAAAACAAAGTGTGCTAAAGCCTCAAGGTTTCTGACCTAGAAGCGATGGTTGGAAGAAGAGATGGCTGTGAGCAATCTCTATGAGTTCACGTGGGTCATTCATTGTCTCATCCCTCAGCGCCTCAAGAACCGCCTCACACGAGAACTCCCTAACGACAAACAACATCAAAGCGTAAATTTTGATTACAAGGACTCCAAAAGCTAATTAGTCATTACAAGTTAAGGAAGTAAGGCTACCTTGTTATGAGAATTCTATAGAGCATCTTCAAGATAGGACAGAGCTCAGCAGGAGTAACAGGTTTGCCCTCTTCAGGGTGTTGAAGACTTAACGAGGATTGGTTTAATAACTCGAAAAACGCTTTCACCGCGGAAACTCCCTACGCACATTACATCACAATCACTTTCATCATTAGCCTATCATGTACCTAATCTTAAGACACTCTATTTGCAGTTCTAACGGTAATTGGTTGATGCATATTACCTGGATCATTCCCTTGCCTTTGATGCTATCACCCATTTCAAGGTTAAGTTCTCCTTTTGCGAGCTTCTGACCATACCACGCATTACGACCTTTTAGCAATGTCACATAGGTATCCGCAAGCAAAGGCCCAGCAAGTTTCTCTGGCTCCTTGGCCAATAGATGAGTGATAAAAATCATCTCTGAAGTACAATGCGCAAAGTACACTGATTTACTGGTAGCACTCTCCTTTGTCAATGTATCCACCATTCCTAAAAAACACAAAACAAACACTGCTTCATGAACTTTCTCACATAGAGAACATTTTTAGAGATATGGATCTTCTTTACCTGCGCCAATGGCATAAACATTTTTCAAACCACCCATTACTTCATGAGTAACAAGGTCACTGTTGTCCCACACTATGAAATGAGACTGCCTTAGAAACTTCCCCAAAGGCTTCCTCCATTTCTCAGACCCGCAAATCCGTGCATTAGCGTACTCCTTGTTGTATACCTCTGAAGCAATGTTAGGTCCCCCAAGGTATAGAATGTTCTCAAGAGGGATCCCAGCTGCAAAAAAGAATGTAACAACAAGAATTGTAATATTGCCAATGTACAATCAAGATGCAAGAGAGACATGTACAAACTAGCCACCTATGCTGCTTACTAACACTACACAAAATCAAGTGATTAAGGAGGAGAATTTACTCGCTCGGTAGATCATCTGAGTAGGAGTAACAATCCTAGGATGTGGTTCAAACTCAGCTTCCACACCTTTAGCCAAAGAGATAATCACAGGCACATTAACTCTCTCCTTCCAGTACTTACTAATCTCACTAAACACCTGAAACGTCTCCGTAGAAGGCAAACCATTAACAACAACATCAGCATCCCAAACCGCTTCCTGAAGATTCGTCACAACTTTCAAAGGACACAAAGGAGTCTCAATCATATTCAAACAAAACCCATCTTTCAATATCTCATCTGCGTACAAAACCCTATCACCTAACCTAGCTTCCACGTATTTTAGATACGCACACCTTCTTATCAACCTCCTAAGCAACTCCTCTCTCGAGTTGATCACTTCGAATAAATGCTGAGCTGTTCCTTTATCTATTGCTCTCCCTCCTCTTCTCCAGATTCTAACACTGACTTTCTCTCTGAATCTCCCGTAGTTTTCTTGTAACATTGCGATGAAGACGCTTCCCCAAGCACCGGCTCCTACGCCTACGATCTTTAACGGATCTTCCTCGGCTTTGCCGAGAAGTTTACGGATCTCGTCGAGCCTTGCTTCCACTAATCTGCTCGGAGCTGAGTTAGTGTCGTTCATCGTCTCCACCAAATGCTCCATTATCAATAAACAAAGGATTTAGATTTGTAATGAGTATCTTTAGTGGCTACTTGTTCACTAACAAGACAACAAGCTTTGGAAAAAAAGAAAAAAAATGAGATTTGTTCTTTATCGGAGTTATCGATGTTTAAGCTTCGGTAATGATCTTTTCAGGTAAGGTTGTGTCTTTTTTTTCAGGTAACTTGTAAAAGATCAGACAATTACGTCAGCTTCTCTATGCTGTCTTTATCTAATGGGGCCCACTTATGGCCCACTAAACCTTGTGTATTGTCTTTTCGTTATTTAATCTTATAGTCAAGCGGCCCAATAAACCTTGTATATGGGCCTTTTCGTTATTTCATCGTTCCCAAGGTTTCTTGTACATTGGAAATTTGAAACAATTGTCTTTGACCCCAATCATGAAATGATTAGGTTATCTAACCTTCAAATTAACTAAAAAAATATGTGTATTGATTATTTAATCTCAATCCCAAATTGTTTTAAACCACATGAATCTTAACTGGCCATGTGTCTCAATCATCAAGAGACAGATAATTCACTGATTTATCAATCAAAACATTTTATTACTAGATTCAAACGAACACGCTAATAGGTTAGAGAAGCTTTATGTTAATAATGTAAAAAAGAGACTGATAAAGTCATAACCATGAGTGGATAATATTCTTGAACATGAGAAAACGCAAATCATCCAATGAACTACCAGTTGTGACAGTAAAAAAAAAGAGCTAAGTAAATATATTATATGGTAACTTAATGAGGCAAAATATTACTTAGACACGAGACATGCCGAGTTTGCGTTCAAACAAGCGACGCAGGAGATAAACTTGGAGGACACTTGCACCGATCAATGCAAACGACTCGAACACTGCTTTGTATACTGCTCTTTTGCTCATGCTCTCATTCACTGCAACCATATCAAAAAATTTACTCACAGAAGCTAAAAAAACAACATGTTTTAAGGAGAAACATTGTTACCTATGGCTTGACGATCGGTCTGAGCTTCTAACCAATGTTGTTCAAACTGGATATTGTAAAGAGCCTCTTCTAACTTTGATATTTGCTCCATCAAAGGAGTGAAATGCTCTGCACAAGAAAACAATCTTTTCAGCTTAGTAACTCAACAAACCCCAAAAAAATACAAAACCAAATGAGAGAATCCTCACCGTCCTTTGCGTGCTGATCGTAGTATGCAAAGTGACCAAGCTGTACATCGAAGTCAATGGTTTCATGGTAAGGAGACTTGTTAGTGAAACAGAAACGGTAAACCCCTTTCTTTTGGACAACAAAGTCGTGCTTGGCACTTATCTGCTCCCTGAAGTCATGTATCTGTTCCCCCGTTGGGCCGTGTATCTGTCATATTAACCAAAAATAAATAAATTGTGTAATGTATTTCTTATTCGTTACTCAAACGTACACAAGAGACTATAGTAAAAAAAAATGCCACAAGGTACAAATTCAAAGAGAAATCATTTTCTATATCAATACATGGTTAGTAGAGGATTAATGATTATCTACCAATAACATACAGAGCTAATTAGTACTTTAATCAACAATGGAGATTCTAAAAAACACTATTGAGTAAAAGGGATAAGACACATACCACAAGATCTACACCATCCTCGTTAAAATGCCATTGAGAATCAGATTTAATGACGACGAAAGAGACATGAAGGGTATCGCCTTCATAATCAGCTTTGTGTGAGAAGCATTCTTCTCTGTCTATCACGAATCTGATCCCTAACGCTGCCTGGAAGCTCCATACGAGCCCTAGGATTAGGATCGTAGCCTTCAAGCTCATCTGCCACAGATAAATACTGAATTTTATTTCAATTTAAAAAAAACGTAATTCAATTGTTAAGAAGAGTCTCGATTAGAGATTTTGAAAAATCCAATTGAATTGATTCAATTTCGATTCTTACGAGGTGGTTGATTTCAGATTGAGAGACTTACCTTGGAAAATTAGAGAATCGAGGGGATGGAACTACGAAGATTTTTATGGAAATTCGATATCGTCGATGAGAGATTGATCGGGGAAGAAGACGGTGAGGAGAGAAAGAGACACGATGAAGCCTGTTTCGACTGTAGGGGGGAGTTTTTCGTGACCCGACAAAACATCATCAACTATAAACGACGTCGCTCTGTTCTTTGTTTAGCTATTTGGTCAGCGGGTTTACGTGGCCTAAATTCATTGGCGGTATATATTGCCACATCACTAAATACCATGTTAACTCCATTAATACAAATATAATGATATTTTAAGTTTTTTACACATATTAAAAATAATAAAAATATTCTTTTAGTTATTATTTTAGTTTTATCAATAAATTTTCACCATTCATAGTTTTTTTTTTAATTAATTTAGTTTCAAATAAAAATGCATTAATTGTCCTAAATCATCATACATTTGTATATAAGATATCAGCATTTACACCCAAAAAAAAGATAAAAATATAGAACATTATATATTTATATACAGAGAGAGTAATAATAATAATTTTAAAACACTAAAATGCATTGTTGGATTTATAACTAGGGATCCCGTGTAATTATTGTTAATTTTTAAAAACTATAATGTTATTGATTTATAAAACATCACCTTCTTTCTATAATCTAATATTATTAGTTTGATGATTTCATAATTACATACAATATTCATTATTATTCATAAATTAAAAAAATAAAAAAATTACTGATTTTGTACATCTATTAGAGTTACTAATAGTGTTACATTTTAAACAATTTAAAACACATAATTTTTTTTTGAGAATACTACATATATTTTTAGATACTAAAAATCACTATAAATAAAATAATCTCATAATTATGAATATGCAAAAAAATTCTCAACCTCTTTTCATATTTAACAAAATTTTCAATTTTAAAATCAACCAATTATATATAAATCCAATTCCATAAAAACTCTCTCTAACTGATAATCATTAGTCGAATTTATTGCAGCATTATGATGTTTTATTGACTGTTATCTATACAGCTTTTTGGCTTTTTTTTTTTTTTTTTTTTTTAAACTCACAGCTTTTTAGCTTTCCATAATATTTTAACCGCTAAAATAAAGGGTTAAAGCCATCATAGTAATTATCAAAAGAGAAGATTACAGATTCATGAATTTAGAGATTAGCCCTACTCTTCCAAAAACCACACTCCCTATTTTATTTTTGATATTTCCCCTTTCTCGCCCCCCTCTTCTCTTCTCCTTCTTCCTCCTTCAAATCTCCACCCTCTTCTGCTCATTCATCACCCGCGTATTCATATACATACACAGGGCTACTCAGACCTTCTCGGTCTGGTCCCCAGATTCATCAATCCACAGAAGCGACGTTCGTTTACAAAAAAAAAAAAAAAAAAAAAGAAAGAAGAGAAGATGGTGGGAAGTGGTGCTAGGGTTTCGTTTTCAGCGGATACAAGGAAAACGATTCAGACCATCAAGGAGATCACTGCTGGGAACTATAGTGAGGATGAGATTCACGCAATGCTCCTTGAATGTAATATGAATCCCGATGACGCTGCTCAACGCCTTCTTCTTCAAGGTATTATTATCTTCGCTTCTTTGATTCCTGATTTGGATTCTTTGATTGGATCCACGATGTGATTGTAGGTTTTCGATTTTTGGGGGTTTTAAACTTAGGTTTTAGATTCTGACATGTTCAGCTTCTGTCTGAATTTTATGGGGTTTGATAATCATATGTCGGAAGTAAAACCTGTCTCTAGTTGTTTATGTCTTAATGTCTTGTCTAGGGTTTAATTTTTAGAGTATGCATCAGGGTTTTATAATGCGGCAAATATTAGCAAATGATTTGTGTAAAATATCATGTAATTTGGAGACTGTTTCTAGGATCGTTTTTAAGTTTTAGGTTTTGCTGAGCTATTAATCCATACTATGTTCTGAACCAATTTTTTTTTAATTTGTCCATGACTTTGCAGATCCATTCCTTGAGGTTAAGAAGAAGCGTGATAAGAAAAAGGAGGTATGGTTTTTTTGCACTTCTTTTTGTTTTACTTCATGTGTTTACTGTATTGATTATGATATGGTGATTGACATTGTTATTAAATGCAATAGAACCTTAGCAACAAGGACTCTGTTGAGCCACAACGGAGATCCGGTGGCCCAGGCCGTGGTAGCAGGGGTGGTCGGATGAACTTCTCTTCTCGTCATTCATCACACGGTAAACACCAGTCACCAACTCAATGTTTACGTTGTTGCAAGCATTAGTTTTCTTTGGTTGTCCTTTTTTCACTTTAAACTGATTCTTACCTTCTTTTCTTGTGAGAACAAACTACAAACTAGTCATGGCTGCGATTTAGTGGAAGTCCATAATTCGTCTGGTTCTGAATTTTTCAGTCTTTGATGAAGTTTCTGTTTACTTCTAATCAGAGGGTGCCGGTGCTAAGACTTCATTTAGAAAGGAAAATGGCCCAAAGCAGGTCACGGATCCATCAACTTCTACCTCTCAACAAATAAAAACTAAAGACAACGCGTTGGTGTCAAGGTAAGCGTCATCCTATACTACAAACCCCTGTTATGTATCATTTTCCTTGATTCTATTTGAGGTGGATGTAGACACCATTAGCGAAAGCAGAGGTGGGCCCTTTCGGTCCAGCATCGATATACCCTATATATGAGTTTTCTCATGATCGTCATTTTCTTTTTCTACTGTTGACAGCCTTTCAGTTGTGATGGATAAAAGTTCTGTTGGTTTGACATCAGGAAGCTCTGATGGTGCATCATCTGCTGTTGAATCAAGCAAAAATCGTGTAGAATTGGGCTTTAATGATGTGCACACTGAGCAGAAGCCGGCTGATTCTCTGCCACTCTCTCGTCCATCCTCGGAGGTTCGATTGACTTCTTCAAATGCCAAATTAGTGAGCGAGCAACACCTTGGGGAAAGAAAGTTACAAAACAGATCCCGTGTGGTTGGGAAGACTTCCGTGAATGATGCTTATGTTCCGAGGCCTGCTTCATCTCATAGCAACAGCACGGGTAGCCGGCCTTCCTCTAACTACAGTAATCGGTCACATCAGACTGTTGGTACTCAAAGAGGTAAAAGAAATACTTTTTTTTTTGTCTCTACAGCTCTTTTTTTAATTTGCATTTGTAATTTTCTGACATCACCATGGATGCTTGTGTTTAGTTAAGGAATGGAAACCGAAGCCCGTGAACCATAATAACACTACTCAGGTTTCTGGTGCATCAGCTACAACTGAAGCTCTTGCGGTTCCTACTGAAGCCAGTGAAAAATCTGTTAAAGATGTTCCTTCTGCAGAGGGCACATCTAGGTTGGAGAAACAGCTTGAAGACTTGCAGGTTCAACGTCAGCATGTTATTATTCCAAACCATATCCTTGTTCCAGAGGCTGAACGAACCAAGTTAAGCTTTGGAAGCTTTGATGCTGGCTTTTCTATAACATCAAGTTCAGCAGCTTTACCAGAGAATGAAAGGAGATCTGCACCTCTCTCCCAGAATTCACAGGAAGCTGAAGATAGTTTGGAAGAGAACGAACTTAGGTAATCTATCTATCTCTACTTTGTTAATTATTGTTGTTGTTGAGCGGCTAAACATTCTCAATATAGAGATATATGAGTTGGAAAGAAGTTGTAGTTCGCTGATTTTGCTTCGTAGCATAGTCAAAACTCGAACTTACAAAGAGTGTACTTTAGATTCTAGGTGTAACATAACATTTCTATTTTTGACATGCCCAGTTGATCTAATAGTGTCACTGGCTAAGTGGGTTTTGTTTCTAGAAGCAACTCTTTGTCCTCCGTAGCTCTTAAGTTCGAGATAGGTAGTAACAACTTTTATGTATTATGATGTTTAATCTTGACGGCACTGATTTTCTGGAAATCATATAATCTTTCCACTAGGAACACTTGCTACACGGAACCTTTTTGTCATTTCTAGGTATTAAATTTTGTCTTTTAGAACCTTGATGTGTCAAAATTTACCAGTGCCTAAAGTGTTCTTCTTTTTAATGAATTCAGCAACCCAAATGTCCATTCAACTGAAAAGTACGAGGAGAATCATGTTTACTCCGAGACGCCTTCACAAGTTCCAAATGCTATGGCTAGTGAAGGTATTGCTGCAGTTGACGTCTCTAAGCAAGAGAATATGTTGGAGTCCCAAAGCAATCAAAACTCTTTTGACCACGTTCCGAGTAATATTACCGGGCTTGTTCCTCCAGCTCCTGGGAGCCAGCATCCACAGTTTGAGAATGCTGACCCCCAAGCACGTGATGCCCTTCGTATTCCTAATTTTCTGGTATGCCTTCAAAATTAATTTTATTAACTTGCTAGTCTGCCATATTCTTGATCACCTTAAACCATTGATTATGCCCAGCTTTTACTCTTCATTGATCAGGAACATTTTGCGCATTACATAGTTTTTAGGCATTCTCAGTTTGTCTTTTGAATGACCTATACTTTTGTTATTCGAAGGTCCAGCAACCATTTGATACAGCGAGTTACTATGCTCAATTCTACCGATCAGGCCCTGACAGTGATGGCCGTGTTTCTCCCTTTGTTTCTCCAGGGGTTGCATCCAAGTTTAATGGAAATGTTACAGTATTGCCCCCACATTCATCTCAAACAACGCAAGAGGTTAGTGCAGCCTTTTGGGTTAGCCTACTTTGTTACATAATCCATTACACACCTTTCAATTTTGGTCTAGAAGTTGTTCTTGATTTTTTTTTCGTTTATCATCATTCAATTTCCAATAGTAGCAGCATCATAGTTAAATTCGTCATACCAGCCACTTGGATTTAAGTCTAGAATCTAGATTTTTTTCCTTGATAAAATGGATATCCTTGAAAGATCAAGGATACAGTTGCTACAATTATATTATAGGTTTTCTGTGTATGAAATGCTTGAACATATTGATTTGCAGGGTGGAAACAACTTAGTTCTGTCGACAGCTAGTCCAACTCCACTGGTAACACAGGGTGCTGGGCTGATACAGAGCTCTTTACCAGTCACGCAGCAGCCTGTTCCTTTTCTACGCCCTCCAGGATTACATATGTCACATTATCCACCGAATTACATGCCATATGGACACTACTTCTCCCCATTCTATCTACCTCACCCGGGAATGCAACAGTTCTTAAACAATGGTGCATTTGCTCAGCAACCTCAGGGAAGCAGTCTATATCCTGCTCCTCCACCCCCTGGAGCTGCAACAGGAGGCAAATACATACTTCCTCATCACAAGCCTGGGAATAATACAGGAAACTCGGCTCATGTTGGGCCTGGTGGTTACGGACCATCACATGGTTCCTTCCCAGCAGGATATAATCCCAATTCTGCTGCTTCAGCTGGGAATTCAACTTCCAATGAGGATCTCAACACATTGCAGTTGAAGGAAAACAACGGCTACAGCGCAACAGGGCAACAACAGGTATCTATTACCTTTTCCCTCTTTGAACCCAACTCGGTTGAGAGATTACTTAAAGTTCCTTTTCGTAATGAGTTTCTTCTCTTCTGCAGAATGAAGCATTACCTGTATGGATTGCTGGACCAGGAAGAGATGTCCCGAGCTCTTTCTACGGTTTACAGCACCATGGTCCACACGTGACTTACGCTCCAGCACAAGCTGGTCACGTGACATTCCCAGGTATGTATCATCCGGGACAAGCAGTGACAGCAGCAGGAGTTCACCATCCGCTCTTACAACAGTCTCAGGGTGTTACTGGAGCTGAAATGGTTGCACCTGGGCCTAACATTTTCCAACAGCCTCAGCAAACACCTATGAATTGGCCAAGTAATTACTGAAACATGAAGCAAAAGCAAAAAAAAAGGAAAAGAAGATTTTGGGGGATTCAACCAGAGTATCAGGAAGATATGGTCGTTGACTTGCGTGTGTGTGTGTGTGTATGCCATCTAACAAATTACCGAAGAAAGGAAGCTATGATGTTGAAGGATTAAAAGCATGAAGGGATTGACAGAGGATAGAGGAAGGTATTTTTTTTAATGAATCCAATGTTTTTTTTGGTGTTTCTATATCTTTTCATTTTTTGGGTTTTAGCAAAATATTTGCTTTCTTAGATTTTTTAGCTCTTCTGAGCTATAAAGCCAAAAGAACTTTTGCTGCCTGAGTCTGTATCTAAAGACTCTTCCTTCTTTTCTCAGCCTTTTGTGAACATTGTTCAATATGGAATTACTTGAATCTTTTATTTGAATTCAAAAAAAATACAAGAAAATATGTAGAATGTAATAGTTTTCCTGTATATCCCAATATTATTGAAGTGTTTTTGAAAGCCCAATTGTTTTGCCTTTTAATCACTTTTAACCAAATGGTCTTTTTCTTAACAACTTAGACGCTAAGAAAACTTTTTGAAGTTGTGACAAAGTTCACGTTACAGCACCAGTCAGTTACTTAAAAGGAGACTTTTAAGTTGTAAGAGCATCCTCAATGCAAAATGCTTATTAGGGGTGCCTAATCTTTGTTTAATAATTTTTTGTTGTAAAAGTGGTTTAAGAACCAACGCTAAGCACCCGCCAAATTTTGTGCCTCCAATGCAAGTTGCTTATTTTGGGTTTCTTAAAAAAAAAAAAAATAATAATAATTAAACATTGTTTTATCTAACATAAAATTTATTTATTATATAAGACATACTAAAAGATAACATTTAAAACATAGATTTTAAATTAAAAACATAAAAACATACATTACTAAATAAACGAGAATAATTTGAAATCATATCCCGAGATCAGTTGTTGCCTCCATCATGTCCAAATCGATGCCATATATGTTCAACCAAATCAGTTTTCAGTTGTTGATTCATTTGTTTATCACGAATTGTCGTTCGAGCACGCATCATATCGGGGATCGTTGAAGGGGTATCTGTAGAAAACGTGGTATCGACATGTGAACTTCCGAAGTCTTCTCCTTGTTGAAACTCTGAAATATCATACTGAGTGTATCCATCTCGTTCGTTTTCTACAATCATATTATGGAGTATGATACATGCTCTCATAATCTTCCCAACTTTTACTTTATCCCAAAAAAGTGCTGGATTTTTAACAATAGCAAAGCGAGCTTGCAAGACTCCAAAAGCACGCTCGACATCTTTTCGGACAGCTTCTTGACGTTGAGCAAACAAAACTGCTTGCGGGCTCTGTGGTAATGGAATAGACTGGATAAAAGTTGCCCATTTTGGATAAATACCATCGGTGAGATAGTAAGCTAAACGATACTCTCTTCCATTGACAGAGTACGTGACTTGTGGCGCTTGACCGTTTATTATGTCATCAAAAACAGGTGAACGATCTAGAACATTGATATCATTTAAAGTACCTGGAGGTCCAAAAAATGAATGCCATATCCAGAGATCATATGAAGCAACCGCCTCTAGAACGATTGTTGGCTTACCCGAACCTCGAGCATATTGCCCTTTCCAAGCGGTGGGACAATTCTTCCACTCCCAATGCATACAGTCGATGCTTCCTATCATCCCGGGGAACCCACGTTGTTCTCCGATATAAAGTAGACGTTGAAGATCAGCAGGTGTTGGTCGTCTTAGGTATTCATCGCCGAATAATTGAATTATTCCTTCTACAAAATTCTCCAGACATGACCGAGCTGTAGATTCAGCGAGCCGGAGGTATTCATCGACCGCATCAGCCGCATTACCATATGCCAATAGACGAATGGCTGCTGTACACTTTTGGAGTGTTGAGAGACCGAACCTTCCGAGACCATCTCTTTTTTGGCCAAAGAATTCAACTTCATTCGAGAGTCGATTCGCAATGTGCATAAACAATGTCTTGTTCATTCGAAAACGCCGGCGGAAATAATTATCTGGATATGTTGGAGTTTCACTGAAATAATCGTTCCATAAACGTACATTGCCTTCCTCCCGATGTCTTTCGATATAAGCTCGTTTTTTCTTTTTTTTCCTTCGCTCTTCTTGGTTAGCTCGGATGGTCGCATTCTCAAAAACTTGATCGAATTTTTGATCAAATTTTTGATCAAACATCTCATCTAATGCATCATCAGATGATTCATCAAAAGTGTTTTGGTGAGTATTGAAAGTGTTATGAGATGAGGAAGCCATATATGGTATTAAAAAAAAAGAGGAGTGATCAAAGGCTGAGCGTTTGATGAGTATTGAAAGAAGAGTTTGGTTGACAGAAAAGATATTTTGGTGAGTATTGAAAGAAGAGTTTGGTCGATTGAAAAAGAAAGTTTGATGAGTATTGTCTTTATAATATCAAACAAGCTGGTACAAGATTGTGTTTTCTTTATAAAATCAAACAAGTTGGTACAACTTAAAATAAACGTGAATCACAATATATTACAAGACAACAGAAATATTAACAAGAAGTTGGTACAAGATTGTGTTTTCTTTGACTGCCGAAGTATACATTTTGTTGACTGCTGAGCAGATCAACAAAGCTAGAACGTTCACTAAATGGATCAAAAGCCATTTGAGAACTGAATGAGGATAGGAAAAGAGATATGAAGAAGAGGAAAGCTAATAGGAAGTTAAAAAGGAGAGGAAGACAGATAAGAAGAAGAGGAGGGTTTCGAAGAGATATTTAACAAGTTTAAACAGAGTAATGACACTTACCTAACTTCAATTTATTACACTCTCACAACCATAATCAACCACAAAGCCACACATTTATTATCGGCAATTCAAACATAATCCAAACCAACCAAACACATAACCTATACCGTAGTTATTATCCACTCTTACAACCATAATCCATCAATGCAAACCAACCAAACACATAACCTATACCGTAGCTATTATCAACTCTCACAACCATAATCCATCAATGCAAACCAACCAAACACTTAACCAATTAATCCATCAATTCAAACCAACCAAACACATAACCAATTAATCCATCAATTCAAATCAACCAATTAATCCATCGAGAATGATTAACAGAGCAAAGTCAGTCTTAATCAACAATCAAACACCATACGCAGAATCAAACCAAACACCATATGCAGAGATATACTTTAAAGTCAGTATTATATCAAAAATCAGAACCATACGCAGAGACAAACAAACACCATACGCAGAGATTTTAAGATAACAAATTAATGAATTCGAGAATGAGTAAAACTAAAGTCAGTCTTAATCAAAAAGTCTTGAATTTTTACCTGTATTGCAGACGACAATCACATATACTTCACTGTAGTCGTCTCTTTTGAGGGACTTTTATCTCATGCTCCATCCATCTGAAGACAGTAAAATACACACACAAATCATGAGATACGAACACATAAACTAATTAAAAAACGATTCATAGATTTACCTTTGCTTTGATTACGTAGAGGAGAGATGGAGGATTTTCATCCTCGAGGAGATCGGCACCGGCAGAGGCGGAGAGGTTCATCGTCCATGAGAGAGAGAGAGGGACGAGTTGTTTATCATCGACAATGAGGCCGATAGGAGAACGACGGAGAGACAAGGTTGGATCATCGTTGATTTCGTCGCGGAGCGGTGGAGGATAAAGAGAGAGGCGAGGACAGATCAACCTCGATTGATAACGATGAGGCAGAGAGGAGATCGAGAGAGAAGGGGACATCATCGTCGATTGATAACGGAGCCGTCGCGGAGGCGTGGAGGAGAATCGTCGAGAGAGAAACAAGAGAGGAGACGGAGAGTTCAAAGAAGCAAAAAAAGATTTTCGAGAGAGATTGAGATAGAGAGAGAGAGAGGAAGGCCGCATGGCCAACACGTGTCCCATAAGCGCTCTCAATTTAACGCTTAATCAAGCACCGTATTCTTCTTTATTATTCAGATTAACAATTTTTTTTAAATCAAAAAAGGCATAAGCACCCCATTAAGCGTCTGCATTAATGGTGCTCTAACAACACATGGCTTTGTCTGATAAGATTCTGGATTATTGTCTTTAATTTACAAGAATGCACAGTACAAAGCACTTATGAGCATACACATACACATGATCCAAAGTCATATACAATCATATATGTTTTAACTTTTTACACTAAGTCTCCCTGCATCTTTCAACTACCAAGAGAAGAACAAATTTCATGGAACCCTGATCCGTGTAACGCCTTGAAGCAGCAGAAACCCAACTTGGATACATTTGTTTTTGTCTCAGAGAACGATATCTCTGAACAAGAATGAAGCTTCCTAAGGCCCAAAAAAACAGATAGAATCCCAAGAATGAATGATTTGTCTTACAATACTCAATCAGTTTAGTGTCTTCTCAAACCCCAGAGAGTAGTCTTCACAGTTTCTAACTTTTTGACAAGTCTCTCCATAAGTCAAAAACCTGTCTTGTTTTGATTTTTCCGCCATGTGCATCTACTTTTGTTTTACCTTTTTAAAGAGAATCCTTTCAATAGCTTCTGGTTGGAGTGAGTGGGTCGTAGTCATAAGCTTCACCAGCTTTAACAAACCTCCCCTTTACACGCCGTCTCACGTCAGCTCTTGCTTTGCGAGAAGCATACCTCACTGTCTTATCAAACCTGTTGCAAAGGAACAGCCAAAGAATGTCTCATTTAGAAACACACTAACACTTGCTTAAAATGATGCTATGTACTGGATTCATAATGGCACTTACTTGCGAGCCTTCTTTTTCTCCTTATAACGCAAAACAGCGTTATTACGAGTCACTGAATGTGAGCAAGCATTATTATCCTGTGATGTTTGAGGATACCATGGTGGCTCGCCTGAGAGCTGCATGGAAGATGATGCACCACATTCTTGAAAATCTCCAGCGCTGCTATCTCCAGTGACTCCAGAGAAAGATATGTTGGAATGTGTTGGCTTTGATGTGAAGCAAATGATTGGTTCTGTTTTTGAACTCATGAAAGAATCATCATTGCTCTCAGCAGGCTGCACTGGATTCCCTCCCTGGATTAAAAGAATCATTAGAATCACAGAAAGATACATTGTTGCTTGTGAAAACTCATAAAAATGGAAAAAAAAACATACCTCAGGAGCTGCTGCTTGAAGATGTTTCTGGAAAAGACAATCGATTCCACCTTGTCCAAAGAGCTCTCCAGAGGTGTTAAAGGCTGTCCCAAAGAGCTCTTCATAGTTCTCAAGAGCCAAGTCAACTTCATCCATACCCAAGTTCCCATAAAAGTCATCTTCACACACTCTAACCTCCTTCAAAAACCATAAACAAACAATAAATCAAATTTAGTTACAAAATGATAAACCCATAGATGCCATAAAATTGATGACAAAATTAATACCTTAGGAAATGGTGAAGTTGCAGGAGCTGCAGAACTGGTTTCAGGCCTTGAAGAGGAGCCATTCTTATCCTCACTACAGTTTTGGTTGTTCTGACCATCATCATCTATATTCATCATACCCATTTCTTGTTCACAACCGGATTGTTCAGCTAACTCCAAACAGAAAGACCAGATAGAAGCGAGCTCCGAGCTTGAAGGGCAACCAGAATAGCAGCTTATAGTTTGCCTCTTGTGATCATTTGATGAAGAGTTGTTGTTGTTGTGGCCTGACCAATCACAGTTTTGACAGAGGGAAACTCTTTCTTGAACACACCTGACAGTTGCAGGCTGAGCATTGCATCTCTCGCAGACAAGTGTTCTAGAATGTCGTTTGGACAATGCATTAGCAGAGTGAACACTCCGGTCACAGGAGAGACAAAGACACGCTGCATCTGAACGACAGTACACCATAGATCTTTGTTCACCACAGAAGTCACACATGTAACCCATCTTCTTTCACTCTCTTGACCAAATCAAATTTCAACTGCAAAAAAATAAAAGTCATATATACATAAATCAGAATTAGATAATAAGAACAAGAGACTTGGTTTAACAAGCAAGCTCTTGAAGAAGATATTTTGAAAACAAACTTTCTTTTAGGTTGTGATTACTAAAAACAGGTGGAGAGTTAATAACCAAAGGAGAAACATAAAAATGGAAAGGAAAACCTTTTTCATGAGATTTACTATTATAGCAAGTGACTTAGTCTCAAAGCTTTCATATGAACAGAACAGTCAGAGACCAAAACACACAAAAGGAATTAATAAAAATCGAAATTAAAAAAAAAAAAACAAAGCTTTAGACTATACAGATCAGTAATAAATCTACAGTTTTTTGTTGTTTGACTTATATAGTTCAAGATGAATCCAAAATCCAATAATTCTTACAAAACAATTCAAGCTTTCTTAGCTATTTACAATCATCAGTTCATCCTTAAGAAACCAAAAATCAAAAGAAAACATGAAAATCTATTCAAATTGAAGATCCAGTTTCAACACAAACACATATAATAGAGACAGATTCATTAAGACCCTTCATAGTATAAACGCCAGAAGCAATTATTATTACAAACGGATAAATCAGAGAAAATAAGAACACTACAGAACAAAGGTTTTAGATTGAGAAAGTTAAAAGATAACTCACGGTGATAAAAAGATGATCTTCAGATGAAGTTTGAAACAAGAAAAATCTGAGACAAACAAGCACAGATCTTTAGAAACAGAGCCGCTGATGATTAGCTTCTTTCTTCTCTGCTTCTCTCTCTCTTTTTCTCTCAAGAAGAAAAGAAAAAAAACTCAAATGGATAGACAATGGGTGGGTATTGTGTCCGCAAAGAGACATGTAGGCTTGTGACATAATCAAAAGTGCCTACCTTTTTCTCATTAAATTTTATTTTATTTTATTAAAAAAGACAAAAAAGTGCTGAAAAGTTTTTGTGTAGGGTATGGGTGGGTCCCTGTCGTATTTATTACAGTGAAAGCAATAAGGACCCTACAGATTTTATTATTGTAATAAAAAGAAAAGTAAGAAGATATGTTTTATGAAACCATTGCGAGTACTGAAAAAATAATGTAATCGCGATGCGGATTGTACCAAGTGGCTCCTTTTGTGCTATAATGGATTCTCCAAGTGTTACGCTTTTTCGATGCTTTTAAACGAATCAGAAGACGCATCTCAGATCAGATATATACTATAGTTTTGCCTTTTAGGCTCACAATATTTTTTTTTTTTATAAAACTCTTATTCGCTTTGTGTCTTTGACCTTACGAAAACCAAATCATCTTTTTTTTCTCTTTGTTTTTGTTCGGTGGGAGTATAGTACATCACAAAAATATCTTTTTGGTTAGAAAGATGGCAAAGATATTTTTGATAGGAAAGAAATGGAAAACAAACAAAAATATCTGCCAAGTTAGATACGTCTGTCTGTGTAACAATGATGATGAGACCAGAATTATATTAATTTTAATGTAACAGTTTACTAAACTCATATCCTACTCTATATAATATTGGGTTTTATGCACTTTTGTCACCTTCATCTTTTTATTCTCACAGGTTAACTAAATTCATTTCTTTTATGAGTAATCGAAAATTTTAATGAGTTCTAGAAATTGTTTAAGATATGGTTTTTTAGTAGAGCCGAATTCCACGGTTTATGATCCTATTTGACTTGCTCAAACAAAGTTCAAAGGTTTTCGGAAAAAAAAAGGTGAACAGATATATATATATATATATCCAACCATTTTAGTTAGTCCCAATCCCAAAGAAGATGAAAGAAAATGAATTATTTTGAAGAAAGTTTTTGTGTTGTTGATTTCTCGGCGTAGTGCTTCTTCCCCTGTGCTTCCTATTCGTATATTGTATTAGTCTAGTAGGATTGATCTGTAATACGGGAACCGTAGGTAAAAACCTTTTGCTCAATACTAGAATTCACAATTGAAGGATCTAAGGCTGCACTAATCGTGGATATATATATATAAATTTATATATTATGTTATGATTTTTTTTTATTTAAGGATGAATTTCATTTAGAAGAACTAAATTGGACACAACACATGTTTTAGAAGAGTTCATAACTTTAATCACACCTTAAAGCTTGTATATTACTACATATAACGTGGACAATTACCGAACTTTATGTCTTTCGCCATGTTTCATTTTTTGCTTGGTTTTCAATGTTAGAAAAATATTAAAAGAGCTGAAGAAGAGGAAAAACTTGGGTAAGCTTTAACGTTTACTGTTTAATCAAATCTGGAGCTTATTACTAGAAACACAATTGGATAAATTATTAACAAAGCTACTTGAAACACACACACACACACACAAGTTAGAATACTAATCAACGATAGTGAAAGCAAAAAGGAGAAGAAAAAAAATAGATGAAGATAAGACGCACTAAAAGATTGTAAACATAAAAAAAAAAATCTGAATATGATGCTTGAATAAATGCGAGTTGGATAAGATTATAAGACGATCCGAACTTTGGTACAAAAACATCGTATTCTTTCTTCTACTTTCTCCAATATAAAACCACCGCCTTACTTAGAGGTGACGACACTTCACTTGTTTTTCCTTAAGATAACATTAACTACTAATCTTATTACTTCATTTAATCATTAGTGCCTTTTTATGAACTTCACACCAAAATTTCTTTATTATATGCTTCTCCCACCAATCATAACTCTAAATAATTAAAATATTTATTAAAATATCACATTTCCTAGGACGAGATCATTAGCTGTTGTGACATAAGGAGATCATCTCATGAGTTTGACTCAATGTTAACTTTTTCAAACCAGAATCACCAAAATTGCTTTTCCAAATGTTCAGGTTTTAAGATATGGTTGAACAAGAACTGCAAAAAAAACAAAAAGAAAAGCATGGCGAATAGGTTTTGATTCAGATGAGGAAAAGAGTCTTTAACAACGAGCTACAATAAAGAACTTTCAAAATTACCTGAAGCTCTTTTATCTACAGCTTTATGAGAATGGAGGTAGGCAAGCATTTGACACGATCTAGATTAACCAAGTCTAATGGTAAAGGAGTTTTAGCAGGAGTGTCCGTCCTTGGATTCGAATCTTGGCCACTGCGAAATTCATATATGGGCTGCAGCATCCGAGACGGTGAGCCACCTGATGATCTTGGGGTCTATACTCACTCTCTAGTCTGGACCACCGAGGTGGGATAGGATATTCAATTAGAAAAAAAAAAAGGTACATGATGATGGATCTGCATCAATGTTGGTGGTTTCCCGATGATAGAAGCAAATAGTCTAGTGGTCTATTTCTGGACCAACGTTAAAGTAACGAAGACTAGCCTTTCCTGCTGCTTGCCTCAACGGATTTGTTATTGGACAAAAAAAACTGGTGTGATTAGGATTTATTAACATTTAGAATACATAACTGATAGAAATTAATACTTGAATGCAATAACTCTAGCAAGATTTTAAAATAACAATCTGAGTAATATAAGTACATCAGTTTTCTTTGCTTTTGTTTTCTGATATCTCACTATTCTTTAGTTCTACTAAAACCAAAGGTTTATCTTTTCAACAAGACACGAGTTGATGCAAAAGAGAATAAACAAAATTTTGAAGATAACTTTATAAAAGAAAGCATAAGACAAAAGAGGAATGAATCTCTTGTAATGTGAACCGGTGACCCCTCGGAGCTCACCTGCGCTAGGCTCTAAGACCTCGGTATCTGCCTGCGTAACAAGGTTTTTATAAGGATTTAAACTCTATTCATATCATTTTTGTAACTAAGTGTGTAAGTCCTCCTTCGACGAAATTTGTAATTAGATGATTTTATAACTACTCAGGTCTCTTAAAGCTTGGTATGTAATTAGATAAATTTGACAGTCTCAGAGTTTGATGTGTTTCTCAGCAGTAAGTAATGCAAAACAATGAACTACTCACCAAAAACATTATTGGAAATGTTTAGAGCATTGTCGTGTCCACTGGGTAGCTTCCCAGTACCCGCAAAAAGGTAGCAAATTCCTGCAACAACAACAACAACAACAAGAGCCTTAGTCACATTCTACTTTACCGTGTTTTCCAGACCAAGTAAAAAAAAAAAACAAAGGCTTTACCTCGAGATGCCTAAGTGCATTTTGAGCAACTTCATCAGCCATAGATGCTTCAAAGTCCACATAGAAAAGATAATCAAAGTATCTGCCAAGCAAAAGAGAGCAACATTTTTTACCATTATCCAGATTACTTAGTGAACGGTACAAGAGTCAAGGAGTGGTTTGTCAGAGAAAATACTTTAGCCCTCCAGATGCTCGCAGAGGGTTTTTCCTTAAAGGGCGGCTTTCAATCTGATCGAAATCACAAGCAATTGATTGTTATCGATGAAAAAAGTAATGATTATAAACAAGGCTGCGCAAACTGAAACCTAGCTAACCTTTGTGAGGTTAATTTGCCTAAGGGCAAACACAGCAAGTGCTTTAAATAGTACTCCAGGCCCTTCCTCCAACGAGAAAACTATACTTGTCTACAAGAAGATCAGAGTAACTTATCCATCAGAGAAAAAAATAAAATGCCAAAGAGCAGCGCTTGCATTTCAGAAGATAACACAGGGATTTCTCACCTTAAAAAGTCTGTTCGTTCCAGGGATAATGGGTTCCCTTGCCAGCATTAGAAACCTTGTCACATTATCAGTGTCATCCTAGATTGATTAAACTTCACAGTCAAATCATCCACAAGTGTAATTACCAACGAAAAACAAATAGTAAAGAAATTAGAAAACTCTATAAAACCTGGATATCTTCAGCAACTATGTTCAACCCATATATCTCTGCAGCTTTGGCGCTCGCAACTGCAGCTGCATCACTTAAATCCTCGAATGCAATTTGCTGTCAATTCAATCCAATAACTTAATAACCTCCTGTTGTAAGCTAATGAATATATAATCATACAAAGAAAAGAGCATAAAGTGTTTTACCTTTGCAGCACCAGCAGTGTCATCAACCGCTTCTCTGACCAATCCCAATCTAGTTAACGTGTTTTCACACTGAGCAAGAGCCTGATCCAAACCAAACTCTAAGCCTTTCGCTCATACTAAGAAACCACAAGAACTGAAAAAAGCAAGTAGTGTACCTGTGGATGGCTAAGCACCCTTCTCAAATCTTCAAGCTTCACACCATGGTTAGCCAACAAACAATGCCGAACAGCTAACTTGACTTCCCCAACAATATGCAAATTGTGTCGCAGCAAAAGATCATAGTTTCTATGAATGCTTCCACCTAAAGAGTTCTCAATTGGCAAAACTGCTCGGTCAACAAGCCACCGCTCAACCGCCTAAATAACAACAAAAATGCTTAAAAGACTAATGGCATAACAAAAACACAAGCTCTTAAAAGTAGGAACTAAGATTCTCACTTCAAAAGCAGTGTCAAACTCTTCGCAAGGAACAGCTTCACAATTTGGATAAGCCTTCTCAGCTGCTGATTCACTGTATGCACCTCTTACTCCCTAATAATTCATTTAATCAGATAAGCATCTTCTCTAATAAATATTCCTCATAGATGCTTCTGTGTATTATACCTGATAGGCTACACGAACACGAGAGCCGTTGGATACAGTTTCCGCGAGCTGGTTTGATGATAACGGCTCTAATAATTAAATAAAGATCGTAATTATCAATGAATCGATGCTAATTCAAGTTAACCTCTCTAGCTACTGGTTTTACTGTTCACTAACTACCAACAAACACGTTCTCGAGTCAAAACGGCAGCGTATGAAACAGTTAGCTACGAGGAATTAAATAAAATTAGATTAATAGGAATTCGTACTAGGAAGCAGAGGTGAGTCTTCGAGAATCTTCTTGACTTCCACAGCACTCAGAGAGTTTTCGTTACGATTTCCATCTCCTTGCGATGCCAATACGGATACCAAACGGTTGCGTTTCGAAGATCCGTAACCGAATCGGATAACGGTTTTTGGATTGCGATTGGATGGTGACTGGTTCACGGAGATTCCACCGGGGAGATGAGTCGCCGGCAATCGAACAGCGTGGAAGGCGGCCATTGATGTGAAAATGAAACTAAGAGAAGAAAAGGAAACAAAAAATAAGACTTGATATACTTGGAAGTGACATTGATTGGGCCACTTATTATAAGGCTTTTTTAAGTTCGTTAATGGGCCAAGCTATTTTAATCTGACGGCCCATAGTATTTGTGTGTTATATAACCCATGGCTGTTGATGATGCATTAGACTATCGATCTATTTTTATCTACTACTATGATATCAATCTAATCAAGGAATTAAAATTATATCTCTCTACTACATCATGAGTTCAACTGTTACATTTTTTATAAACTTCAACAACAGAAAGTTATGTTGATTAAGGAGGAGACAAAAGAAATGTGCCAAAATAGATAATATCCTATGTCTTCTCACACGCTCCTTTTGCTAATACTACAACAACAACATAGTCAGATCACAAGCCAAAAGTCCATTCGTAATCTGTCACTTTTTACGTTTCCTTCCACTCGTCGTCACCTTCTTCTCCTCTTTGGCTACAGGAGACCTGAGCCAACACAAACAAAAAACCTTAGCTTATACAAAAAAACAATAACAGAGTATGAACTTTTGCATATTGAGGGAGAGGTAATTATCACAAACTCACTTATAATTTGGATCCAAGTCTGTGAGAGCCTGATCGATTGCAAACACTACCATATTCTTTATCTGTTCAAAACAAACACACAGGGAATCAGAGAAGCATTTAAAGATGATTTAGTTAGTTAATTAGTTAGCTAGCAATCAGACATAGATACAAAACAATCAGAAGATACCTGCAACTTGTCCTCTTTTGAATGATGGTTGGGAGGTAGCAAACGATACTCCTTTGTTAAACGGAAACATTCACTGATATTTTCAGGTGAGACAAAGTCAAGCGCCACCTTTGTACAAGACTGCAGGAGAAACAAAATGATCAATCTGACGAACCTTTTGCTGAGAGATTAAAAAAAAAAATCCACTTTGCTGAAAAGCACAGGTAGGTATATACAAAATTTTACCTTCAAGTTCCTGACTTGATGAGGGCATCCTACAGGTATCAACACAGCATCTCCAAGCTTCTGAACAAAGGTCCATGGCTCAATGCCTACACAATATATATAACCCCATAGAAATATTACTAAAACTGTCAAAAGCTAACTTGGTTGTGTTATTAATAAAATACAGCTTACCGTATTCTTCTTTCAAAATCATTTTATGATAACGCGTCAGATAGAAAGACTGATCCTGTATTGGATGAACCACCTAAAGAGAAGAAGAAGAAGATGGAAGAACATATACGTTAAGTAAAAATCCCCATTAATGAGCAACTAAACACCATATCTTCACTGAATTTATTGAGAAGCGTACCTTAGACACAGGGGAGCAAAAGAAATGCCGGAACTCATGGTGATGATTCAGAAGGTATTTCTCTAATTTCGGAACATCTTCTCTACGGAAAATGTCCCAAAGAGCTCCTCCATCAGCATCAAGGTTCTTGACTTCTTCTTCACCAGTGATTTCAAGAATCTGCATCTTTTCCTTGTAGTTAGGAACCGAGCAAAACAGCTCCTTAACATCTTGTTCAGTGTGCTTCTTTTTCAGTGTTTTCATTTTTTCCATTTTAGCTTTCTTTTCATCCTCTTTGATGGTCACTTCACTTATGTGTGTCAGCACATTAACCTGAAATTGGCAACACAACAGCAATTAAGATACAGAATAGGAGAGTAAAACTATTATAAAGTAGTATAATCTCAGCTTGACATATATTTCCACCCAAGAATGAGAACATGCATAATAATAATATTAATAAAAGACAACTTTGGTAACTCCGCTCGTACAGCATAAATCGAAACCAAGAGTTCCCAGAAAGCTAGATTATGTATTTTTCAGTTTTCAGTTGACAAATAGGAACCTAATTGTACGGAGCGTTTTTTTTTTTTACTACTTGACCAATGAATACAATCTAGAATACAATGGTCGGTCCCTAAACTAGTAGAGACTAGAGAGACTAAACTGAAAAGGAAACAAGATAACTAGTACTAAATTTCTATAAATGCCATGAAATAAAGGGTATACATTTATTGAGAAGGAACAAGGATACTGCATAACACTCATCTTGACAATTCACTGAACTAGGTCTTGTATCAGTTATTATTCTCCACACTTCATTTCAATGTAGTTTACGTATTCATAAGGTTAACAGCCCAAAGATAAAATTCAAACAAACAAGTTTATTGAATACAAATGAAATCGACACAGTATTAATTCATTAATCTATATTTTTTAGTGCACAATTTGAGTTACTTTCAATGGGTTTTGTAAATTCAAAAGATTATTAGCTGAACAATTTAGGTTATAATAGTAATCTTGGTTTACTATTCAGCTTCAGCCAAACTTGATAGTCTATTTACAAAAGAGGCTTACACAAAACATTTTGTTGGCTTGTTTGTTTTGGTGATTCGACCATAGCAAAATCATATACATTTTGGCAATTTTAATCCATTGATATAATCAGCTTCAGCCACATTTATAGCATTCATCACGATATTCAGTTTTAGCTAAATTTGAAGTAGGGTTTGTTAGTCTATCTACAAAGGGTATACAAGAATTTTTGTTAGCATGTTTGTTTTGGTGATTAGACAGCAGCAAAATCATGTTCATTTTGGTAATCTCTGATTCTTGAACTGTACACCAAATCTAATAAAAATCAGTTAATTTATTAAGATATTCAACTTTAGTAAAACATCCAGCAAAATTCATCATAGCTGGATAAAATTGTGTTTATTTTGATAATCTTAATTTACTGAGATATTCAACTTTAGTCGAATATCCATCAAAACTTATCATCGCTCGATAAAATTGTGTTCATTTTGATAAACCTTAATTTACTGAGATATTCAACTTTAGTCAAACTTCCAGCAAAATTATCATAGCTCGATATTCAGGTTCGGCATAATTTATAAAAGAACTTTTAGACTATGAGCAAAGAGCCTCTACCAAACACTGTCATTCTGTTTTGTGATTAGAAAGATCATGCATGTTTAGGTAATCTTAATCCATGAAGATATTCAGCTTCAGCAAAATTTACAGTGAAACTTGTTAAGTCTATTTGCTAAGAGCCTCCACAAAACTCTTGGTTGGTCTGTTTTGATGATTAACAGCATCAAAATCATGTTTCTATAGGTGATCTTAATCCATGGAAACATTTAGCTTCAGGCAAACTTGTATAGTAATAGCTCGATATTCAACTTCAGCAGAATTTGCAGTAGAACTTGTTAGTTTATCTGCATAGAGCTTCTATTAATACATTGTTGATCTGTTTTGGAGATTAGATAGGGTTGAGTAACTTTATTCCATGAAGATTTTCAGGTTCAGCCGAACTTACAGAGAAAAACTTGAATAGACATTGCTCGACATTCAGCTTCAGTAAAATTTGCAATAGAACTTATTAGCCTATCTGCAAAGAACCTCTACAAAACACTTTTTGGTATGTTTTGGTGATTAGCAGCATCAAAATCATGTTAGTATAGGTGATTTCAATCCATAGAAATATTCAGTTCAACCAAACTTGAACCAACTTGTGCAGTCATAGCTCGATATTCAGCTTCAGCAGAATTTGCAGCAAAACTTGTTAATCTATCTACAAAGAGCCTCTACCAGACACTTTGTTGGTCTTTTGGTGATTAGACAGAAGCAAAATCATGTCAGTTTTGGTAATTTTAGAGATATTTAATTTCAGCCGAACTTGAAGCAAAACTTTTGTAGTCATAGCTCAATATTCAGATGAAGTATGAAATATATTGCAAGGCATAATTAGAGGAAAGCAAGCCTACAAGAAGAATATGGGGATTTACTTCTATTATTAGCTTTAGAAGAGGAGAAAATGAGCAATAATGGGAATAGTTCCAACTCAAAACCAAAAATATTATCTTCCCAAAAAATACTTCAACTTACCAGAAATGAACTAAGGTAGGACTAAACCTATGTGTAAGAAAAAGTGTTTGGTAGGAATTTATTATGAAAAGGGTATCTGATTTCATTACTATGATAGGTTTTAAGATCAATATAGGTATACCAAAGATAACCATCAGAAAACCAAGTACACCAAAGAAAGGAAAACGTCCATGAAAAACAATAAACGAAATGAGTACTAACCGCATCAGACATGTCGCAGTGAAGCTTGGTTACTGAATCTCCACGGCCCATTTCTTGCGCAAATCCATAAGCAACGTAAGTCTTTGGTCCCATGTCTGGCTTCAAGCACTCATCAGGCAACTTCGCAGCGAGATTTAAAGGCCCATCACGCGGGTGGGTATACAGCTTCAAAGGCAAACTGCATAAGAACTCCTCACAGTGACGTGGCAAGTTTTCACTGAAGCTCTTCGATGGAGGCCAATCTTTCAGTTTCAGAACACTTGGCCAACCCTCACGATCATAACGGCCTTTTTTGTAACCGGCAAAGAATTCCCCAAGATTAACCGATCCCTGCATCCATAATAACTCATCATATAGTAACAAATTCTGCATCTGAAAAGCAACTATATTTAAAATATACAACAAGTAAAGCAACCAAGTGTGTAGGGCAAATAAATACTTAAATTAATCACTAGAAAAGAAAATATATGGACCAAAGACATGCCATATAATTAATTAAGGGGAAGACTAACCTCACAGCAGTCCAGACAATCAATAGCACTAACGTCTAGAAGTGTTTCATGCTTGGTACTTCTTATCTGACGGCAGGCACGATGCATAACACCTGGTTCCCAGCTTAAACCAGCTGTAGCCTCAAGCACGTTCCTCACAATCACAGGCTCTCCTTTTGCCCAATGATGCTGAAAATGCTTCAGATCATCATCATGAACACTTGGAAAATATAGATAATTGTCTTCTGATCCTTCTCGACATGCAGCCTTTAACAAGTTTTTGTTGGTTTCCATGTCAATATGCCCCTCAGAGTTAAAACAAGGGCATCTCTTTGTAGCCAGTTCAGGTAAATCAAAAAGCTTGTTGGCTTCAACAATTTCTTCAACTTTTTTGACCAATTCTGATACAAAACCATCAGGAAGTACACGTTTCAACTCTAATATCCCCTCACCACAATAGCAAGTAATGATTCCAGTTTCATCTGCTTTCCAAGTAGATGGGGACTTGACAATAGCAAGTGATGATTCCAGGTCCAGGTTATCATCCGTAGGTTTAACAATTTTTGCTTTTCCTCCATGTAGATAATCGAAACCTCTGCTAATGTAATCCCACGAAACATCCTCCTGACTTGCCTGAAGCTTTCCATTTCGTATCTCCATGGAACATGCAATGCATATATCAGAACTACAGATCGAGCAATGTCTATGAAGATCAAAGATCGCAGTCTGGCAGCTATCACTGTAAACGCAGAGTTTAAACAAGAAAGATTAGTGACAGCATGATAACATAAGAACAAGACATATTCAGTGAAACAAGAGTGTCAAGGTGATTTACCAGTATAGTCTTTCGCCAGGGTTACATTTAGCGTCTTCAGGCTTCACCTCTCCAACATCCCGTCCTGTGAAACAAATAAAAAAGGAAGTTAAAGTATCCTCTTATTCTCTGAGTCATCTCATTGCAGCTTCCCATCATATACATACTTCAAACGTAATAACGTGAGAAAGCAAACAATATGAAGGGAAAACCAAAAACAATAATTAGTTTCCAGCATTACTAAAAGCGAAGAAAGTACCTAATATATTTGCCTCAGCTTCCTTCTCAAGAACTTGTTCATCATTTATTTCCTTCAAATGTGGGAGAAGCTTTTGCAGAATATACTTAGAGCATTGAACTGTTTCATCCTTGCTAACCACGAGGTCTGAATTTAACTTCACGATATTTGGAGCAATGATTAAGTAAGGATGCTAAAAATATAATTTAAGAAAGCACACAGTCAAGCAAAGATATACTTACTTCCATTTTAGTATCTAGACGCAAACATGCTCTGCAATTGCAAGTATTCCAACAAAATGGGCATTTCGTGGCAATGTCTTCATGTGGAATGTTAGGGTACCTATTATAGAACAAGTTTTTTCAAGCTTCCATAAAATTAAGTAACAAATCCAGCAAAAAAAACTACAATAAAGGAAGTGGATCCCTAAACCCCGATTAACTATACTAAAGAAATATTTTTGAAATTATATAGGCATCAAAAGAAAGTAACTCATGCTCAAAATCCAACTATTTATCTTCATTATATGTATCCAATAATACAATATAAAGCTCTAAAGTATCTACATTTAACACTAATAAAGTAAGTGAGTAGCAAGAAGCCAACATCATGGGTAAGTGTGAAAGTAAGATCAGAGCTATACCAATTTTTTAAGCACAAGTGGCAATAACGCTTCCTCTTGCAGGTCTGACACCTTACAACCTCCCCATTATCATTTCGTTGACACTGATGACACATCAAGGACTCGGATTCTTCAGCGTTTTCCTAAATATATACCAAAAAACAAAACACAGATTACTATGTGTACCCTACTATTACTGAGTAAATGAGAGAGTTTTTTTAACTGACCTCGTCTTTGTTGTTACAACCAACCAAAACTTTCCGAGGCCTCTTAAGTTTCTTAACAAGAACTTTAGAAACCACTTCATCCTTCTCCTTCTTCTCTTCTTTTTCTTCTTCCAATGGCTTAAGCTTCTTAACAGGATCCTCAGAGACCACTTCATCCTTCTTCTCCTCTTCTTTTTCTTCTTTCAACTGCCTTTTACGTGACACATAAACCTTTCCGAACCTTTGCATTCCATCAGAAGCTTTAACTTCTTCACCTCCATTATCCTCCTTCTTCTCTAAGGAAGCCACTCCGTTAACACATTGGTCAACTTTCTCCGTTGACTTTTCGTTGTCTTCGTTTACAGGATATTTCCTTGGCCTTCCTCGTTTACCTTTTGGCTTAACATCACTAGCCTTCTGCTCTTCTTCAGGATTTTTCCTAGGCCTTCCCCGTTTACCCTTTGGTTTAACATCACTCGTCTTCTGCTCTTCTTCTTCAGGCTTTTCCCGAGGCCTGTCCGGTTTAATCTTAGGTGTATCATTAGTCTTCTGCTCTTCTTCAGGGTTTTTTCGAGGCCTGCCCGGTTTAGCCTTCGGTTTATTATTACTCTTCACCTCTTCTTCAGGATTAGCCTTCGGTTTATTATTAGTCTTCAGCTCTTCTTCAGGATTACCCTTCGGTTTATCACTCGGCTTCTGGTCTTCTTCAGGATTAGCCTTAGGTGTATCATTCGTCTTCTGCTCTTCTTCCGGAATAGCCTTCGGTTTATCATTTATCCTCTCCTCTTCTTCCGGAATACCCTTCGGTTTATCACTTATCTTCTGCTCATCTTCCGGAATACCCTTCAGTTTATCATTCGTCTTCTGGTTTTCTTCAGGATTACCCTTCGGTTTATCATTCATCTTCTGGTTTTCTTTGGGATTAGCCTTCGGTTTATCACTCGTCTTCTGCACTTCTTCAGTTTTTTTCCGAGGCCTTCCCGGTTTAGCCTTCGGTTTATCACTCTTCTGGTCTTCTTCAGGATTAGTCTTCGGTTTCACATTCGTCTTCTGATCTTCGGGATTTTTTCGAGGCCTGCCACGTTTTCTCTTTGGCTTGCTTTTAGAATCTTCATCGTCGCTAATCATAACCTCTACGTAATCAACAAACAACTTACAAGCTCTCGGCTCCCTACGCGGGAGAGCTTGTCCGTTCGGTTCTTCAGCAACTCTAATAAGAGCTTCTTCTTCCTCTGTAGAACTCATCATGGTGGAAAGATTTAAAAAAAAAAAAATCTTTTGGACAGAAGCCCCCAATCAGAGAGAAGGAATATTTATAAAAAGGGAATTAGGAAAAACGTGAAACCCTAGACACTGTTAACGCGGATTCACCTAGATAATTGGGAAGCTGAATAGTTATGCTCTGCCGCTGTTAAAAGTTTTAGGGTTAATTTTGTCAAACTGGTGGATTTAAGGCCAAAACGTGGCGGGTTTTTACTTTCCCGCTCATTTCGAATATCGAAAATTTTATTACAAGAATAAATGTCTTGTCTGATACTAATATTTATTCATAATTAAGTAGATTTTTCTGGTGATATTTAAGTAGTTTATGGTGAATTACATCTTCAAAATTTACCAACCGGTTAATACAATTACATAAACTTTTTGGGAAATTAGCAGACAATTCTTCATCATAATTAATCTTTTTACTCATTTACCTAAGTGACTAAGTCTTTAAAATTCAAACATTTACATATTTTTTGGTGGTCACTCTCTTTGGATTCAAAACAGTGAGTGGTTTTTTTATTGGTTTATCTTTTTGGTGGTTGTTTTAAGATCTTTTATTGATTAATAAATTTCAGAAGGGCAAAAAAATATCAAATTTGATACATGAAATATATTTATTGATAAGTCAAAGTTGCTCATTTTAGACAATGTCGAGAATCTCTCGATTGCATTACACCAACTTCTCAAAATATGAATAATAATGGTAGGAATTAAAAAGGCTAATTGTTTCACAAGACTTGGAGCAATCATAAATATTGCAAGTCAAGCTTATATAGTATTTGATTATGACAACAAATGGAAGACACATTAGCAGTCAGACTAATCTTATTTTTCATTTAAGTAGGAAGGTGCAGGGAAGCTTAGCACTCTAGAGGAGACCAAGACTTTTTGACACAAACTTGTTACATTCATTGTCACGTATGCACACCTGGATAGTTACATTTTGGGGTTAAAAACAAAACGCATTCATCATCATAATGCAGATATTGACCAAAATATCATTCTCAAGCCTTTACATATATATAAATATCAGACGATGGTATATTAAAAATATTACTTATATCTCATAATTTAATCTAACATTGACCCAATTAAATAACGAGTTTTTCTAGTCTTACAAAAAACTATAGACTTTGTACCAATCGGCAACTAGAAGCAAATAAAAATATATGATGACAATGACCATGGAACATTATAAAAATATATGATCAACCTCCTATTTTTATTTCTTCAGATTTTTGATCAAAAAGACTCATAAATACCAGAGCAGGAAAGAATAACCATCAAACATTCAAATCGAATTTATCAAAGGAGACCATCTCTAATCATCCACAGAACCTGTGACAATAACATGAAGGTATGTATATCATATGTGTACTCAATATCAGTACACTAACAAGTCATTAACTTAGATACTCGTGTGTGTGTGTGTGTGTGTGGAAGAAGACTTTTCTTGTGATGTTAAGAGGTTTTTTCTACTTGTGTGCAGCAAAAGATCCTGATAAGAGTTACCATGACTGATGATAAAACCAGAGCAAAAGCAATGAAAACTGCGGCTCAGTTTAAAGGTAAACAACGACACAAAAACCATATAAAAACTAATCCATGTTGAATCTAAAGAGTTGATAGCATATGGTTTAATAGGAGTCTCGGGCGTGGAAATAAAGGGAGATCACAGGAACCAGATTGAAGTGACAGGTGTTGAAGTCAACATGATATGTCTAACCAACACACTGAGGAAGAAGGTAGCCTTCGCTGAGCTTGTGAGCGTCAACAAAGTTGAACCACCCAAGAAAGAAGACGAGAAAAAGAAGGATGAGAAGAAAGCCGATGAGAAGAAAGCAGATGAAAAGAAAGCAGATGAGAAGAAAGCCGATGAGAAAAAAAAGGAGGAGAAAAAGGCAGAGCCATGTTGTTGTCATCAATGTAATTGTCAACCATGTTATCCACCATGGCCTTACGGATATGGTGTGCCATCTTCCTCTCCCCACCCATGTGATCCCTATGGGTATAATTTTAGGGATTATTCTGGGTACAACCACGGACCTAGTGGCTGGTTCATGTGAGAAGACTATCAAGGACGAGTTGAACAGCTTTTCTATACTAAGTTTTTTCAACATGTTAATGCATTTTGATAGTCAAAGTTGTCACATGAATAAATACCCTTGAACTCCAAAACCATACAAACTCTATACTTGTACATGCTCTTATGAAATGAAAAGCTAAATCTTTTTATCCATTGAGTCGCGTTTCATAGTAACGTCTTAACGAGCAGCAATCTTACCAGAGATGCTAAATGCATAATTCAGTACGTTCTCCTAGACACCAAAGGGTTCTACTTCCTACAAATTCAAAACTCACTCACCTTTAACTTTTTCGAGTGCACTGCTGCATCTAACGACCTCGACGCCCGCGTCCAACACGCTTCCCTAAGAGCCAAAGAAAGAAAGAAGAAATGGATTAGCAGTCTTATGGTTGTACAATTTACATCAAAAATGAAGGAGGGAGCAGTACCAGCAACAGGCTTTTTAGGTTTAACTCGAGGAGTGTCTTCCACAAGCAAAGTCTCGAGGTTCAAGCAATCAGGAAGAATGTAGTAGCGGATATCGTTACCCCTCAAGCTTAGAAGCTTAGATGATCAAGTGTTACTAGGTTCTTCCCCTTCAGGGTCATCTTAACTATCTTCAAGTGTGTATTCATTCTCACATCAACACCTGCCCCAAATCATCCCAGGGTAACCTCAAGGAAAAAACTTCTATTGAGTGAACCTAATCTAATGTGTTCTCTCAAGCTACTACGGATGCGATTAAGCCAATGGTTCAAACTGAGATATATCAAAAGATATAGTTCCATTAGCAATCTATCAGTTTTTACGCTTCCGTCTGGACGTCACCATCCTTGCCTTCATCTCCTCTCTGGCTTCTAGAGACCTGAGCCAACACAGAACACCTCAGCTCAAACAAAAGAAGTATCAGAGTATACACATGCTTACTGAAGGTAGTAAGAGGAATGATTACAAACGCACTTTTTATTTCGATCTAAGTCTTCGAGAGCCTTATCGATTGCAAAGACTATCATCTTCTTTATCTGTTAAAACAAACACACAGGGAATCAGAACCATTTCAATTTGCTAAAAGCAGCCAGAAACCGAAACAAAACAAAACAAGAAAGTACCTGCAACTTGTCCTCTTTGGAATGATGGTTTGGGGGTAGCAAACGATATTCCTTTGTCAAACGGAAACACTCACTGATATTTTCAGGTGAGACAAAGTCAAGCGCCACCTTTGTGCAAGACTACAAGAGAAACAGAATGAGCAATCTGATGAATCTTTTGCTGAGAGATTAAAAATCCACTTTGCTCAAAATCACAATGGTATCTTGAACAAAATGTATCTGAAATTTTACCTTCAAGTTCCTGACTTGATGAGGGCAGCCTACAGGTATTAACACAGCATCTCCAAGCTTCTGAACAAACGTCCATGGCTCAATGCCTATACAATATATATCCCATTAATACATTACTAAAACTCTCAAACATAATGTGCTTGTGTTATTCAAAGTATACAACATACCGTATTCTTCTTTCAAAATCATTTTATGATAACGTGTCAGATAGAACGACTGGTCATGTATTGGATGAACCACCTACATAGATGGACGACATACCATAAGAAGTATAATAGAGAAACAAGCTGGAAGCAAATATTCACTACACATCTTCAATGTCTCCACTGAAACTTTAGGGGATGGGAAGTGTACCTGAGACACGGGGGAACAGAAGAAATGTCGGAACTCTTTATGATGACTCAGAAGGTATTTCTCTAATTTTGGAACATCTTCTCTACGGAAAATGTCCCAAAGAGCTCCTCCATCAGCTTCGAGGTTCTTGACTTCTTCTTCGCTATTTTTTTCTAGAATCTGCATCTTTTCCTCGTAGTTAGGAACCGAGCAAAAGAGCTCCTTGACATCTTGTTCAGTATGCTTCTTCTTCATTGTTTTCAGTTTTTCCATTTTGTATTTCTTTTCATCCTCTTTGATGATCACTTCACTTATGTGCGTCAACACATTAACCTGAAATGGCCAACACAACAGCAATTAAGATACAGAAAAAGAGAGTAAAACCATTATAAGAATAATCTCAGTCTGACATATATTTCTACCCAATCATGAAAGAATGAAAACATACATAATAATATTAATAAAAAGGTAATTTTAGTAACTTCGCAGTCCGCTCATATATAGTTCATATAAATAGGAACCAAGAGATAGCAAGATAACGTACTTTTCAGTTATTTATGCCGGGGCCACAAATCGAAACCTCGTTGTACGGAGAATATTCTATTTTAGTACTGGAATGAATAAACCAGTCTAGAATTGGACAAATTGATGGTCCCTTAACTAGTATAGAGACTAAACCGGAAAGGAAACAAGACAACCAGTACTAAGTTACTATAAGTCCCAGGAAATTAAAGGTATAAATTTATTTTCACTCTCAAGAGGGACATGGAGCAAGGATATTGCATAACAACCATCAGAAAAAAAAGGGTAAGAAAAAGTGGCTGGTACGAATTTATTATGAAGTGGAATCTGATTTTATTATTATGGTAGGTTTTTGAGATCATTATGAGTATACCACGGGAAACCATCAGCAAACCAAGTACACCAGAGAAGAAAAAATGTGCACGAGAAATGACAAATAATATGAGTACTAACCGCATCAGACATGTCGCAATGGAGCTTCGTTACTGAATCTGCACGGCCCAGTTCTTGCGCAAATCCATAAGCAATGTAAGTCTTTGGTCCCATGTCTGGCTTCAAGCACTCATCAGGCAACTTTGCAGCGAGATTTAAAGGCCCATCACGCGGGTGAGTATACAGCTTCAAAGGCAAACTGCATAAGAACTCCTCACAGTGACGTGGTAAGTTTTCATTGAAGCTCTTCGACGGAGGCCAATCTTTCAATTTCAGAAGACTTGGCCAACCCTCACGATCATAACGGCCTTTTTTGTAACCGGTAAAGAATTCATGAATTTTAATGGATCCCTACATCAATAACAAGTCATCATATAAGTTAGAGCATAGTAAAACGTTCTTCATCTGAAAAGCAACTATAAATTTGACTTACAACTTCTTTTTTTGGTCAATTATTACAACTTTAGAATGTAGTTATAAAAGACATAAAACTCTGTCGGTAAGAAAAAGATACTGTTCTGTGACATCAAGGATGATGGAATAAAGCAACTTATAGTTAACAAGACCAGAAAACAAATTAGTGATATGTAAGTATCAGAATCATTAAAGTTATGTACTTCACATATTTTAGAAAGATACTACAATATACTTATATTAATTGTTAGATAACAAAATACATGGACCATAGACATATGCCACACAATTAAATGAGAAAACTGACCTCACAGAAGTCCAGACAATCGATAGCTTTAACATCCGGAAGTGGTTCATGCTTAGTGCTTCTAATCTGACGGCAGGCACGTTGCATAACACCTGGTTCCCAGCTTAAACCAGTTGTAGCCTCAAGCACGTTCCTCACAACCACAGGCTCTCCTTTTGCCCAATGATGCTGAAAATGCTTCAGATCATCATCATGAACACTTGGAAAATATAGATAATTGTCTTCTGATCCTTCTCGACATGCAGCCTTTAACAAGTTTTTGTTCTTGTCCATGTCTACATGACCTTCAGAGTTAAAACAAGGGCATCTCTCTGTGGCCACTTCAGGTAAATCAAAAAGCTTGCTAGTTTCAGCAGTTTCTTCTACCTTTTTGACCAAATCAGATACCCAACCATCGGGAAGTACACGTTTCAACTCTAAATCTCCCCCACCACAATAGCAACTAATGATCCCAGCTTCATTTGCTTTCCACGTAGTAGATGGGAGCTTCACAGAGCCTTCGATATTCAGCTTTTCATCCGTAGGTTTATCATTTTTCCCTTTTCCTCCATGTAGATAATCTAAACCTCGGTTAATGAAATTCCAAGAAACATCCTCCTGAGAGGCCTGAAGCCTTCCTTTTCGGATCTCCATGGAACATGCAATGCAGATATCAGAACTACAGCTCGAGCAATGTCTATGAAGATCAAAGATCGCAGTCTTGCAGCTATCACTTTAAGTTCAAAGAGTTGAAACAAGAAAAGATTAGTAACAGCATAATAGCCTAAGACCTTGTCATATTCATTGAAACAAAAGCTTTAGAGTGATTTACCAGCATAATCTTTCGTCAGGGTGAAAATTAATGTCTTCAGGCTTCACTTCTCCAAACTCCAATCCTGTGATATAAACAAAAAAATTATCCTCTTACTCCCTGAGCTAACAGCTAACGAAGAAAATCATTCTAATCTGAGATCTTTGTTTGGAATAAGTGCAGGTATATTCATCAATATGATGCATATACATACTTCAAACCAAATAGCATGAGGATGACAACAATTTGAAGGGACTACTAAGAACAATAATTACTTTGCAGGCTGCAGCATAATTAAAAGGAGGAAAGTACCTGATATCTTTGCCTCAGCTTCCTTCTCAAAATTTTGTTCATCATTTATTTCCTTCAGATGTGGAAGAAGCTTCCGCAGAATATACTTAGAGCATTGAATTTCTTCACCCTTGCTAACATAGAAGTATGGATTTAACCCCTACACAGTATTGGACCAAGCATTGTGTAAGGATGGTAGATAGAATTTAAAAAAACACAAACAAGAAAGATATGGAAGTTACGATAGAACTTACTTTCATTCCAGTTTCTAGACGCAAGCATGCTATGCAATTGCAAGTATTCCAGCAAAAGGGGCATTTCTTGGCAATGTCTTCATGTTGAATGTTAGGATACCTACAAATAGTTATAGAACAAGTTTTTTCAGGCTTCTGGAAATGAAAGAATCAAATTCGGTAAAAAAAAAAACTACAATAAAGGAAGTGGATCAGTAGATCATTAAACCCGGTTACTCTATTAAATAGATGAAACCACAAGAGGCAGCAACAGGAACTGATGCACAAATTCCAGATTTTTATCTTGGTTATATCCAAAACAATACAAAGCTATTCAAAACTTGACTATTACAGTATCAACTTTTAGCACCCATAAACGAATTGACTAAGTGAGTAACAAGAAACCAGGTAAGAAGAGATATACCATTTTTTTAAGCATGTGATGCAATAACGCTTCCTCTTACAGTTCTGACACCTTACAACCTCATTATCGTTTCGTTGACATTGGTGACACATCATGGACTCGGATTCTTTAGTATTATCCTAAATATACCAAAACAATACACAGATTAATATGTAATCCTACTATTTATTGAG